TCCAAATGGCCCGAAATGTGCTCCTAGACACTTTCTGAAAAGTCTCATACTAGAGCTGACACTGAAATTTTTCAACACAGGATTGCTCCATTGACAACAAATGGGGTCGACAACTCCGGAACTCAACCTCCTAGACGCTCGGAAATGGGCTCCTCCCCCATAATTTGACCACACTGAACACGCCAGAGCTGTCCCCGAGGCTCTACGACCTTCAGTTGCCGAGATACAGCCTTTTCAAACTTCAAAATACGTCAAAATACAAACCTGTCTAAATCCACTCCAAATGGCCTGAAACATGCTCCCAACCACTTTTTGAAAGATCCCATACTAGGCCGCTGACACTTAAAATTTTCATAATTCAACCATGCTGAATATGAAGGACTTGTCCCCGAGTCTCTACGACCTTCGGTTGCCGAGATACGGACTTTTCAATGTACAAAATGGGTGTAACTTTCGGACCACAAGTCCCACCCACTTGAGACCGACACCAATGGAAAGCCCATAGCGTGAAATCAGGGTATACACACTGGTTTCAAGTCTCTAGGATGTTCCTATCCAGAGTTATTCAATCTCAAAGTTTCCTGGCAGGGGGTGCCACCACTCCATAAATCTCTATACCTAAACACCCATGCTAATTTAGCTGTAAGGAGATAACAGTTGATTCATCAGTTGGCTTGGATCAGCAGAAACCTCCTGTATGGGATAAACAAGTTCAATTCAGTGTCCAAAGTATAGGAAAAACGCTGATACTGGCAACTGTCAGCCAATCATTGACCAGCCTGTCCTCAAACATGATGCTGAGTCATGGCTTAGCAGTAACACTGGCTAAATGCTAAATGGCTGCGTTACTGATAGCTTTTAACCAATTGGCTTTACAATGTGTCTCCCATTTACACACACAATACCATGCAAGGTGCTGGCCAACCATCAGGAGCATTTGGAGTTCACTGTCTAATCCCAGGGACACCTCGAAATGTGGACAGGAGCTTCAACACCAAGTCATGACTCAGCTAAATTTCAGACAGAGATTTTCTTTGGAGAGTTGGAACAGAACAAATTTTGGCAAAAAACTGCTTTTGTCAGAGGCAACATGAGTTCAGTTCAGTTTGTCTTCAGATTCGTTATCTGTTTGTTCACTTGTGTGTGTGTGTCAGCACAGGATAAAAGTCCAGCCTCCTCATTCTCATCTCCAGGTTTTGCTGAGTTAGAGCAACAGAAAAGTGGAAATATGAAGGTTTACCTGCTGCTGCTGCTGTTGCTGCCACTCTGTTCAGGTAAAGTGATACACTCACACAATCTATTGTTTAAAGTAAATGTACAATAACCAGGAATGGAAAGACTTTAACTTGGGTTTAATTAAGTTTTATGAGGGGTCATGATATTTATTTTAAAAAGAATACACAGTCTGCCTGTATCTTAGCATTTCATTAATTTATGTGGACAAAATGAAACTAAACTGTTTTTAAAGTCTAGATAATTATTTTAAGATTCAAGATTTAAGAGGTTTATTAACATATGTACAGTATAAACACAAGGCTAGTACGCACAATGAAAATCTAACTTTGCCCGACTTTCTGAGGTAACACACAAGTAGAATAGTAAGAACATAATAATTAGAAAAAATATAAAAGTTTTCAATATAAGAATTTTCAATAATAATTAAATATTATATAATAATAATAAATAACTTTTAGATCTAAACAGAATAAGGGCACATTGAAATTCTGAAAATAGCGACACTGACAGAGTTTTCATTCTGATCAACAGTTCATTCTGATCAACAGCCTCGTCCTGCATTAGAAAACTTCAAACAAAGAGCTGATAGAACAATAAGAAGAAAAAACGCTCATTCTATCAAATAGATTTGCCTATTTAGTCTGTAAAATCTTTTAAAATTATTTAAAAAATATCTAATACAGAGAATTGTCATCAGGATAATTGTCTTGAAATTCATCCAAATCATCACAGGAAAAATCTGCTGTTATTATCTCCTCACAGATTAATGAGCATGGGTGTTTCTCACAGGGGATATCCTGCTGAAGGAGTGGTGATGGTTGAGGTTGTTGAATCTGAATATATATGAAATATCCATAAATGTGTCGGTGAATCAGTTTAGGTTGGCAACCTGTGCTCTAGTGGAACAATATAACAGTACCAAAGCCTTCTGTCCAAAGCAACAACATATTATATTTCTATAGAATGGACTTTGCAACCTGTCCACTGATTATCAATTATAAACACCATACATTTCTCTGATGTACTGGCCTCCGACCAGCATTCACAAGCAATAGTAGTAAAAGATTAAAAGTATGCAGTAAAAAGCATGCTGTATTAAAACTACAGGTACAATTTACTTTAAACTTACTATAAAATATCTTATGTTATTAATAAAAAGTCTGACGATTATTATACAAATCTTTTTTTATGGATGTTTATTCCTGATATCGGGATACAGAGACTGAGCAAAGGTGTGTGTATTTGGGTTCTGACTGAGAAGAAGCTGTGTGATATTTGTGCTCAATCAGAGCTCATTATCTGAATTTATATATTACATTTATATGTGTAGTTATGTTCCTTTTTCATCAAGTTAGCATAGTTTTATCATGCTGCTTTAATCTGTTTTATTACAGACCTCATTAAGCAACTTCATTAATATAATACTGACAAAACCAAAGTAGTGACACATAAATACTGTTAAAGTATTTGCTAGCAGTTTTTGTTGTTCTGATTACAGACAGATATATCTCTCACAAATAATGAAGCCCAGTCACTCACAGATTTCTTATGAAGCTAACATTGAACTAGAAAAGTCACTACAACACATGGTGAGCAAATTACTCCCCCCCCCCCCAATACAGTCACATAAGTATTTTCTGTGCTAACTACAGGCACTACAGTAAACGTGGCATCAGCATCCTTGATCCTGGATACATACTGCAGCCACAAGTATAGATGTCTCTGGGCAGATGGACAGAGGTTAGCAGAGACGGGACTCTCTATTATCGCAGTCTCTGTGGACGCAGCTTCGGTTACATTAATTCTGTTCTGTCTGTCCTGAGGACATAGTCCCATCAGCTTGATGCTGCTGTTGGGCCCAAGAAGAGATAGCCAATGAGGAGTTAGCTTTAGCTTTGCCTTTAGTCATCCAGTCTTGCCCCACTTTGGCTGTTCTAAACATCAAACAAATACTAGCTCACTGTATGTGGAGAGACGCTCAGCCTGAGTTGTGTACGAGCAGCCATTTTGATTCTGGCTGGTATTGGAATATATTTAACCATTAAAACATGTCTCATGGATTAGACAGTTTTTTTTTTTGACAGTTGGAGAAGGTACGTATGGAGGCTTCCTCTATCTACAGATATGAATGAATCTCTCAGGTGTTTGTTTGTGTTGCAGCTGAGCAGCATTACATCAAGTGTTATGGTCAGGACTTCCTGATGGTCAACAACATGCTGCTGGATTGTACTAGCAGAGTCAAACAGGCCTGCTTCACCAGAAGTGAGTCCTCTACCTCTATAGAAGGAGACGCAGTAGCGTGATGAAAAGCACTCTATACTGACACCAGGCCCTTATGACGCATTTCCTGTTTGTTGTTGCAGATAACGGAGAAAAAGGCTGCACTCGGTTGGACAAATGCTCTGATCCTGGCTGGACCTGTTGCTACACCGACCTCTGCAATGCATGAGCCAATCACAGTTCACAGAACTCTATCATCAATTAATGCAGTGTGGTGTTGTTTCTGTTTGAGAAATAATGTGCAAAAATGGTTTTTGATTAAAATTAACTAAGTAAACTGCATCTGAAACCTGAAATCAAAGTAAAGTCATTGACATCCCAACAAGTACTCCTCAGATCCACCCGAGTGAACTCACACGATGGCTCACGCAGATTCCTGGCTGATGTCCAAATGTTGCATTCAGGGCAATCTGAATTCTGAGCTTTTTGCTTCTACGGATTACTTTACATACATTTTTCTTCATTATTAAAGACCTTGTTCAATATCAATATTATATATACACGACACTGAAAGCACAATACCTCCCCTTTAATATTTTTCGCTCTGACCCAGTCTCACCTGGACCATCATTGTTGCCATTACAATGCCAAACAGAATTTGATGAAAGTTTTCAAAACATTTATTTGCATTTTTTTGTTGAAATCTTCAGTACAGTCTGTCGTCTGACAGGAATGCATGAGAGAAGACATGATTGGCTCAAAACAGTCACATGAACACCGTCATCATCATCATCATCATCATGGGTATCAATGTTGTTAATGATTGCTGAAAAATAAACAAACACTTCCAGAAACTCCCACAAGACCCTGGCCCCTCCCACACGCTCCCTGTTACCCCGCCCTCCCTGAACGTCCAGGTGAGTCCCCGAACTCTGTACAAGCCCTTCAGAGAGACGAGTGTAGAAAAGATGAAGATATTAAAGATGAAGAGTATTAAAATGGAAAAAAAAACATGACCCCCCCCCCCGACATCATCATGACATTCAAAAGACATTTTGAACAGAAATGGTCCAGAAGAGACAAAAACAAATGTCATCAGCAGTCATTCAGTGAGTCACTGAAAACCAGCCAATCAGAAGAGAGGATCACACGTTTCCTGGGACCTGATTGGCTGAGAGATGTGAGTGTTGAATGTTTATTTGTACAGTGTAGATGAGGAGCTGCTGCCCCCCAGTGGTGAACAGAAATATACACAGGTATCTGCAGTATATACAAACACAGACAATCTATCAGAACCAGACGTCTCACTCGGACACAAACTCTGGATTCTGATCAGTTTTTACTCTGGAGCTTGACTTCATGTTTACAACTTCCTGTTTCCACCTGTTTACTTCCTGTTTCCTGTTATCAGTTTAACTCTGAAGCTCCACTGTCTCAGGGGACAGGTCCAAGAATTAACATGACTGGTTCTAACACATTTAAGACCTGAATCTGAATTGAGTGTGAAGCTCTGTGATTGGTTGTTAGTGAAATGCACCCTGGGAGTCGTAATTAACGTCCGCCTTAGCAAACCATATATTTTTCAGACATTTTTATTATCTATTATATTTTAGTTTGATGCCTCTCGGGCCATTCTTTCAAATTAAAAGCCTTTTATAGTACTTTCTTCCTTGGAGGGCTTTTATTGTGAAGGGTCTAACAGAAGTGTTGAGTTTGATAAGATTCAATCAATATTTAACTCTAAGCCGTCTGCAGCTTATTTTACATGATTCCTTTGATCAATAATTGGTAGGAACCAATAATTCATAATCATTAGACATTTTTCATCAAAACACAATAAAATAAAACAAGATTTTTAACCAAATTAAAAGAATAAGTTTTTTAAAGACTTGCAGATCCTTTCTGACACTTCTTGTTCAACTACTCTTATTGGAGGAGAGAAAGTTACCTGACACACGTGTGTGTGTGTGTGTGTGTGTGTGTGTGTGTGTGTGTGTGTGTCAGGTATCCTCCAGTCTCTGCTCAGGTAAATCAGACACTCCAGGTGTTTCAAACTGTGACATCAAGTTTGTTAAAACTGAAGGAACGTTTATTTTAACACACACACACACACACACACACACAGACGTACTTCTATACTTGTGAGGACCCTCGTTTACATAATACATGTTTTATCATTAACCACTGAGATCTCTGTATGTGTTTATATTGAGTCTCCATTACCAGTAGCTGAATTAGCTGTTAGCAGCCGTTAGCAGCCATTAGCAGTGTACCCATGGATGTACTGACAAACGGAAAAAAAACTATAAAACATGATGATTCTATTTTGTGGATTTCTGAATGTTTTACCAATACGTGTTGACATTGTATTAAACTCTTCATCCTAAGCTGAACCTAAACTCGATCCTAACTTTAAAACCAAGTCTGAACTGTCGAATAAACATTTACAAACACAGTGTCCCCTCTTTATAAAACCCTCCCTGGTCCTCACAAAGATAGTTGTACCCAAGCAGTCACACACTCACACACTCTCTGTTTATGAGGGGGGTGAGGGGGGGAAGGCCCTCGTCACTGGGCGTGGCTGTGTCGTCACTTGGCTCCAGACTGTCCTTCAGACTCACTGTGCTGTCCGAGGGGGGTGGGGTCGACTCGGAGCGGGGCGGGGTTAACTCAGAAATGGGTGGGGTTAACTTGGTTGGGGGTGGGGTGTCTGGGGAGGGTTCTTGGGTCCCGTTAGCCGTTGGGGGAGGGGCAGGGTCCTGTATGGACGGGGTGAAGATGGGGTCCGCCCGGTGGGGGGCAGAGTTAGAGAGGAGGCCGTCGGTGAGAGACAGCGAAGATTTCTCCACCAAACGCCACTGCATGATGCTGGTGTCCTTCCCCCCGGTTGAGATCAGGTGACTGTCTCGATAAAGGAAGCTGACATTGGTCACATGACTGCTGTGGGCGCTGTACTTATGGCTGGGAGCCTGCAGACACAGATTGATTGATTGATCCTTAGCTTGTTTTGTGTTAATCAGGATGTCAAGGGTGGCCGAAACATGATCAATATTGATCAACTGTGATTGTTTTTGTTGGATTGAAGAATTATTAAGATAATCAATGAATATGCACATTGCTTTCAAGTGTGTGTGTGTGTGTGTGTGTATGAGTGTCTCTCACCTTGGCAGTGGAGCACGGGTAGGCAAACAGGTGAACTTTACAGAAGTCGTCAGCCAGAGCAATCACCTTTCTGTTGTGAGATCTGATCAGAGCGTTGATGTCGGTGCCATCTGAACCCTCAGGCCACACACCTAATCCACAGATGTTGATTATTGAAAACACGGTATTGATTTCTATGATTGGATGTTACAGTGACTGTTATCAATTTGTTATTAACGATGTTCCCAAATAAAGACAGGTGATCCAATCAGACCAGTGCCGGCCCGTGGCATAGGCAGTATAGGCAAATGCTAAGGGCGCGGTCCATCTAGGGGGCGCCACAATGGGAGAAGAAGAAAAAAAAAGGTTAAACTTTCAATATTTTAATACTAAAACTAGTTGGTGCTATTATTTCTTAGTATGAAAAAAATAAACCCACATTAATTTAACTGCATAGCAAAGCCTTTTAAATAATAATAAGACTTTATTAAGCCCCCCCCCACACCTGCTCTCTGAGAGATGGTTGAGTTTTCCGACGTGACCCCAGAAACCATTAACAATGTCAAAACGACCAAAACTTTCTGGTGCCCAGGGAAGGAAAAAAAGAAGAGGAGGAAAACGCGACAAAGACAGAGGTAGAGTAAAGATAATGTGATGAAATGATTTGCCTGTTGCAGAACGATAGTAACCTTTAGCCTAACACGGTTTGCTAATCAATAAATAGCGTTAGCTCGTTTTAACGTCAGTTCGTGTTATGGAGGGGCCTATAATATATACAATACTCCCTCCTTATATTTCTCAGGGACATTTGTAAAGATTACATCTATTCAGTAGGTGTTTACATTTGTCTACATTTTTATTTTTATTTATTATTGGTTAGTCAAATGCTATTCCTTTCACACACCTTCATATATTAGAGTCGTAAGCCTTGTTTGTTGTGCTACAGTTCAGTATTGTCTAGTGTGTTTATAGTGTTAAACTTTACATCCATGTTAAAGTGCACATCATTAATGTTAATACATTCCCATATGTTATATTATACTGCAGTTTACTGCTTCTTTGCATTCTGCTTATCAGAATTTCACCGTAATGACAATAAGATTAAATCTAATCTAATTTGCATATCAGCACTGTCTATCATTCATGTACAGTACAGTGAAAGTAATGCATCTCTTAGGTTTTTCATTTTTATCGTTACATTTTATTCTTGGAATCATTTATTTTATTAGACTGTAACACCCAACGGTGTCACTTACTCCTTTTGTCTCTTCAGATGTGCTGTTGAAATATCTAAATCCACCTCCTGCTAATCCTGAGCCATCTACAGTCATCACCGCTTCAGCAGCATCAAGTTATCCTCCTGTCGCCTCCACCTCAGGTTTATCACTTGTATACAGTTTTTATTTTGTAGGTAGTTAAATTTTATACTTTGTGTGGGCTATTTATATTACATTTCTTGTATTATTTTTTTCTAATTTATTATTTTGTTGTTAACTGTTTTGATTGAGCAACTCGTTTCCCTAAAAATAAAATAAAATGTCAAAGACAAAGCTATTCAGTTTCTTGCGTGAGTATATGTATGTATATAACTGGCAGTGGAATTTACTGCGATGCAAGGGGGGCACCACCTAAAATCTTGCCTAGGGCGCCAAATTGGTTAGGGCCGGGCCTGAATCAGACTGAAATGAGGAACTGAGTTCTGAAACAAACATCACAGTTTACAGTCTATATCATTAAAACACACGCAGACACACACACACACACACAGGTGTACTAACCGAACACATGATACCCCAGTACGCAGGTGTACGTCGCCCAGTCGATGTCTTTACACTCTGAACGATTTCTGATCAGTTTACAACCATTTGGAACGTCCCCTGAAAATACACAACTGTTACTACACAAGTAGACTGTACAATAAGTACACAATACAATAAGTAAATTATAAGTACACAGTACTATAAGTACACAATAAGTACACAGTACTGCACTAGTGAAGTATCAGAGTACTCACAGTAGAGGATCTCATAGTCTCCAGAGTTGGACATGATGAAGTTGTTGTCAGGTGACCAGTCCAGGTGTGTGATGTAGCTGGAATGTCCCTGTGGAAACATTCAGGTAACTCATGAACACACCTTGACACACATAGTGTGCTTCAGGAGCAGTGCATTCTGGGATCTGCTAGGACACTGCGGTGAGTGTGTGATTTATTTCAGCTTCCTCAGAGTCTAACAGAGTCCTCGTACAGAAAACAGAAAGATCACCTGCTGCAGGTAGAACCGTGACTGCACACGCATGGCTGGAGTTGAATTAGTTTGAACTTTGTTACTATGACAACCACTGACAAGTACACAAGCACGTGGATGAGAGAGTAGGTTCTATAAGTTCTGTGTGTTCTGTATGTTCTATAAGTTCTATGTGTTCTATATGTTCTATGTGTTCTGTATGTTCTATAGGTTTTATGTGTTCTGTATGTTCTATAAGTTCTGTATGTTCTACATGTTCTATGTGTTCTGTATGTTCTATAGGTTTTATGTGTTCTGTATGTTCTATAGGTTTTATGTGTTCTGTATGTTTTATAAGTTCTGTATGTTCTACATGTTCTATGTGTTCTGTATGTTCTATAGGTTTTATGTGTTCTGTATGTTCTATAGGTTTTATGTGTTCTGTATGTTTTATAAGTTCTGTATGTTCTACATGTTCTATGTGTTCTGTATGTTCTAGGTCAGTAGTCTTTGGCCAAACTTACTGTGCACTTCCCGTATCGGCTGTACTTGCGTCCTCTCTCGGAGACGGTGTAGAGGTAAATAAAGTTATCATGAGATCCAACAGCCAACAGACTGCCATCTGCAGATACACAGAGAGGAGCATTGTGGGACATGTAGTTCACTTATCTCATAACGCTGTCATGGAAACACTCACTGATTTAACTTGACTCCACCCACCTACACAGAAACGCATCACTGACAGCTGCTCGTTCCCGTCAGTATGGATCGCCACTAGGTCAGTGGTCTCAGCATCCAGAACGTACCACCTAAGACAGGTAGATCAGTTAGACCATCAAGAGACAGGTAGACAATGTACCTGCAGATCTACAAACTATACGCAGATCTGTAGAGCTGTGTGCGGTTATAGATCTACAAATGATCCGTAGACCTGTGTGTGAGGTTATAGATCTATAAATGATCTGTAGAGCTGTGTGTGAGGTTATAGATCTATAAATGATCTGTAGAGCTGTGTGTGAGGTTATAGATCTATAAATGATCTGTAGAGCTGTGTGTGAGGTTATAGATCTATACATATTCTGTAGACCTGTGTGAGGTTATAGATCTATAAATGATCTGTAGAGCTGTGTGTGAGGTTATAGATCTATACATATTCTGTAGACCTGTGTGAGGTTATAGATCTATAAATGATCTGTAGAGCTGTGTGTGAGGTTATAGATCTATAAATGATCTGTAGAGCTGTGTGTGAGGTTATAGATCTATACATATTCTGTAGACCTGTGTGAGGTTATAGATCTATAAATGATCTGTAGACCTGTGTGTGAGGTTATAGATCTATAAATGATCTGTAGACCTGTGTGTGAGGTTATAGATCTATAAATGATCTGTAGACCTGTGTGTGAGGTTATAGATCTATAAATGATCTGTAGACCTGTGTGTGGGGTTATAGATCTATACATTTTCTGTAGACCTGTGTGTGTGGTTATAGATCTGTAAATGATCTCTAGACCTGTGTGAGGTTATAGATCTATAAATGATCTGCACTGACTTTCCTGAGTGCGTTCCTATGGCGACTACAGCTCCACTGGGATGGAAGTCAGCACAATGTCCATGTTCCTGAAGGAGAGAGAGTTGTCAATCATCTGTCAATAAATAATGAACCCACCAATCAGCTTTCAGCCAGTAACCCCCGGCAGTCTCACCTCCAGCGTGCGGCTCCATTGAAGACTGTGATCCATCGAGTTCCAGAGGCAGACTAGCCGGTCCTGAGCGCACGTCAGGAACATGTCTCTGGATGGATGAGTCGCTAAACCCCACAGCTCATCTGTGTGACCCTGAACACATCAGAACCCACAGATACTGTGACCCTGAACACATCACAACACGCAGATAATGTGACCCTGAATTCAATTCAGTTCAATTTTATTTGTATAGCACCAATTCATAAAGAAAGTTATCTCAGGACACTTTTCAAATAGAGCAGGGAGAGAGAGAGAGAGAGAGAGAGAGAGCAGAAGCAGAGGTAACGACAGAAGGACAGAGACAGAGACAGCAACGATGGGGGACAATGAGCAGTGATTATAGTAATAATAGTAACTGTAGTAATAATAATAGTAATAATAATAATAATAATAACAATAATATCAGTGATGTTCAGTGATGGCAGTCAAGCAGGACCATGGCAGGAGGCTCCACCAGGATCCATGAGAACCTGCGAGGCGAGAAAGCATAGGAACTCCGGGGAAGAAGTGAAGTTAGTAACATGCATTAATGGGACATGAATGAGTGCAGAAAGAGAGAGGAAGAGAGGAGCTCAGTGCACCATGGGAAATCCCGCGATAGTCTAGACCTATAACAGCATAAGGGATGGATCAGGACTCACTTGATCCAGCCCTAACTATAAGCTTTATCAAAGAGGAACGTCTTAAGCCTACCCTTGAATGTGGTGAGGGTGTCTGCCTCCAGAACAACAACTGCATGTTACTAACTTCACTTCTTCCCTGGAGTTCTTGTGCTTTCTCGTCTCGCAGGTACTCATGGATCCTGGTGGAGCCTCCTGCCATGGTCCTGCTTGACTGCCATTGCTAATATCACTGATATTATTGTTATTATTATTATTATTACTATTATTATTACTATTGTCACACTCTCTCTCTCTCTCTCTCTCTCTCTCTCACCCCAACTGGTCGAGACAGACGACCACCCTCCTAGAGCCGGAGGATCTGTCCTAGGTTTCTGCCTTTTAACAGGCAGTTTTTCCTTGCCCTTGTCGCCAAGGTCTTGCTCATGGTGGTACTGTTGGGTCTCTGTAAATAATGTTATAAAGAGTTTGGTCTAGACCTGCTCTATTTGAAAAGTGTCCTGAGATAACTTCTGTTATGAATTGGCGCTATACAAATAAAACTGAATTGAATTGAATTGAATCACAACACAAAGATACTGTGACCCTGAACACAGCAACATGCTGACATGATGATGATGTCATGTGGTCTCACCTGAACCTCCACCAGGAAGCCGTCATTGAAGGTTCCTCTCAGGATGAAGTTACGAGACGTCCCAACCAGAAACTCGTCCCCCTTCCCCTCAGACACAGCTCTAATGGTTCCGTACTGATCTGGGACCTGAAGGTGCACACCGACATGTGACCCCAATATTAATATTATTCTTTCTCTTACTTCTGTTTGGGGTAATCATGTTCTAACCTTTAGAACTACAGTACCCAAAATGCTTTGGAGGATGTAAACAGGGACTGATACTGATACTGGGTCTGATACTGATACAGGGTCTAAAACTAGGACTGATACTGATACTGGGTCTGATACTGGGACTGATACTGATACAGGGTCTGATACTGATACTGGGACTGATACTGGGACTGACACTGGGACTGATACTGATACTGGAACTGATACTGGGTCTGATACTGGGACTGATACTGATACAGGGTCTGATACTGATACTGGGACTGATACTGGGACTGACACTGGGACTGATACTGATACTGGAACTGATACAGGGTCTGATACTGGGACTGATACTGGGACTGACACTGGGACTGACACTGGGACTGGGATTGATCCTGATACTGATACTGATATCTAAATATAAATATGAACGTGTGTACAGGCGTGTGTATGTGTGTGTTACCTCGATGTCACGGTCGGCTCGCAGTTCGTGGTCCCACAGAATGATTTTTCGGTCTTTTCCTCCTCCGGTCAGCAGAGTGCCGCTCCTCATCTCACACATACAGAACACGCTGCCCTCGTGACCTTTGACCTGCCGACTGATCTGAAATGCTACACACACACACACACACACACACACACACACAGGTGAGTCACACGTGTCCTCTGGAGGAAATTGTTTCATTATATTAATGTCTCATATTGAACTGCTACAGGGTGTCCATGTGTTCTCTGTATGTTTCTGGAGATTCTGTGGACAATAAAGTTGTGTTTGAGTCCTATGTGTTCAGGTGTAGTTCCTGCAGCAGCCAGCAGGGGGCAGCAGATCACACAGAAAAAAACACTTCCTGTTTCTTCAGGTTTCCTGTTCAAACAAATGTGCTGCTGCAGGCGATTTTATTAAACCTAATTTGTTGTGTTTATGAAATGAGATCAGATCTTTAAACCCTGAACATGAACTGAACTGAGTCCTCTGACAGACCTCAACATGTTCCAGCTGTCTGACTCTGATCTGATTCAGGAGAAAAACGGTTACGTTTTGGCATCACTCCTCTTTAAACCAGATGAACAACATATCACTAAAACCATTACTGAAAGTGGGCCACACACACACACACACACACACACACACACACACACACACACACACACACACACACACACAGCCTCTGGTGTTCTTCTCTGTAGTTTAAATATGTATTTATTATTCATCTAGATTTCATACAAATTACAGTTAGACTTTGTCAGAAGACAATAAGGTCACACTGCAAAGCTCAGCACGTTTTATTGTTCAGATCTGATTTCTTTCTCTGCACATTATTAATTAAACGTGGTCCTTCCTCACCTCTGGGTCCCTTCCCGGTGGGGGTCTCAGCGGAGCTCCTGGTCCAGACCAGAAGGATTCCTCCAGAGTCTCCGGTCAGGATGTCACCGGTACTCAAGAAGGCTAGACACTGAATGAACTTCGGCTTCTCATATTTCTGAAAACGCGACAAGAAACTTTAATATACATTATACATTATTATAATATATGTATGCAATATATATTATATAATAGTATTATAATTAATAAATGTATATAACAATACTTTATATAATTAATATATGTATACTGTACCGTAAAACTTCTAATAACCGGTATTATTCGGGCCTTTGTTAGGGGCCGGCGTCTATTTGGGACAGGCCTTTAATTCCTAAAACTACTGCTTCTTTTCAGTTTGTTAATTTCAGCTCGTACTTTTTTCTCGGTGCCGCCACCATGACACTGAACGGCAGCCGGCGTACAGACAGCGAGCAACAGACTTCACATGATAATAATCACAGCTCGGATTAATTTAATATAACACTTTGTTCTGATGGACCCTGATGGACTAAAGGAATATAAATAATGGAGGAACGGACCCTACAGACTTTATTATCCGCTGAGTCTGAATGAACTTAAAACTTTAATGGTCATAGTTTCAGTAAAATGAAGGATTGAACTGTGGAGAATCTGACTGATCCAGCATCTCGCTGATCTCACTGCAGCTCTGTGGTGTTTTTCTTGTTTAGTTTCTGGTTTTACTTTTACAGTTTGCTGGTTCATGGTTCTATAAACACAACGAAAATTCTGTTTGAGTCTGATTTTACTGTTTCAGGAGAAACATGGAAACTCATTCTAATTGATCTGAAGTCTGCTGGTTCTGAAATAACAGTCTGAAATCAAACTGTAGCTGCAGGTTTGACAAGTTAACATTTAATCTGAAGGTTTGTTCCTTTGTGTTGAGGCGGGTGGAGCTTCCTGTTCGTCTGCAGATCAAATTCCTCACATTCACTTAGTTTTTGCTCCACCAAACTTCATTCATATTTTATCGATTTAACACTCTAATGGAGTAAACAACACTCAGTCAGTATTTGTTTAATTAAAGTTTCTCTCTCTAACTCACTTCGGTTCAGAAATCCATACATCTAATTAATCAGTTAAGGGTGCTTTTCATTTGTTTTCCTTTTGCCCTTATCAATAATAATCAATTAGAGTGATCTCTCCTATCTTCTATATGATATCATTATGTTTAATGAAGGAACTTAAACAGGATAGTCAAACATGGAAACAGATAAAACCCACAGCATGTAAAAGGGTAAAAAAACTGCACTTATATAGCGCCTTGCTAGGCTTTGGACCACTCAATGCGCTGTACACTACAGCCACACTCATTCACACACACTCATACACTGATGCACAGTATCTGGAGCAGTTTGGGGTTCAGTGTCTTGCTCAAGGACACTAGAGGACTTGGGAATCGAACCAACAACCTTCAGAGTAGTGGACGGCCTGCTCTACCTCTGAGCCACAGCCGCCTATGGTGGTAAATGTTAATCAATAAAAATTCTATTATTAATAATAGTGATAAAAAAATGGTCTCCTCACCCCAAAGATTCCCTGTTTACGAGCCAGCGAGTTCCCAGTCCAGGTCCAAAAGAAGATGTGGGACTTTCCACAAGTGACAATGGTGTTGGGGTCGGTAGGGTGGAACTCCACAGCCAGGACCACCTCATTAGTGGTCTGAAACACACACCAGTTGGAACCAGTTTCACTCAGAAACAAGTAAGAGCCGATAGGAACCAGTGCTGGTTTTTAACCTCTAATGATTATAATGATATATGTGTAGATATGATTTCAGTGTTTCCTCTATGTTGATTTTGGAGCTGCTGCCCACCGCTGTTAAATTTCTGCCGCCACGGTATCAGAAATGGGGCAGACGCACAATGTAGTCCCGGTTGCCTTTTAAATGATCCTGCCGACATAATGCACCCCCGTTAGCTGCCGCTCACATTGCAATTTAACAACAAGTAGAACTACTCAGAGGTTATTGGGGCTGTCCAGTTTAACTCCACATACTGTTGTGTTGATGTAGCTTATTGTCAAAACGTTCGCTTTCTTCCAAGTCGACTATTAAACTAACAGCTCCACCAAAAACGTCTGCCGCCACTGCTAAAAACAATCGTAGAGGAAACACTGTGATTTATATATATTATCATGTAATGTAATACATTTATTGATATAATGTGTTGTATTGTTGTTTTAAGCAGTCACGGTCAACCTTGATCTCAGCGATTTTCGACTTCTTCTGCCAATCCCAAACTGTCAACATGTGATCATTACAGTCGTCAATAACACTCAGGTGCTGACCAGAGTCCTAAAAGAGAGGCACAGAGACAGAAGTGAGACAGATAATATCTACTCAGTGATCAAAGGACATTTCAGCAGAGTCGGAATATGAACTCTTATGATGTATAGAACAACAGGATCTATATAGACTACAGTTCCCATGATGCACCCGGGTAATACTCACAGCTTTGGAGAAAGCCAGAGAGCCGACACCTCGCTCGAATGTTCCCAAACCGACGACCTGCAGAGTCGACAGACTGACACTATCCCAAATACGAACATGAGGCTGCAGCGCCTGAATGCAAAAAAAAGTTCAGTTTTAGCCCAGTTTTACAAAAATCACACTTTATATATATATATATATATATATATATATATATATATATATATATATACCCTATATATATATATATTCAAGAGTTTTATTGTCACATACACAGAAGAAACACAGTTTTAGAACCATACAATGAAATTACCATAAAATTTAAATAGAACTCAAAGTGCACCGTGTACATGTAGTTGGAAATAAAAGAAAAAAAAAGAAACCTGAGTTGAATAAGGTGCTCTGTGCCTCATAGTTATACATACATATATTTATTCAATTCAGTTTTATTTGTATAGCACCAGTTCACAACAAAAGATATTTCAGGATATACCCCCCCCCACTGACAGGAGCCATGATAACCAGATAACCAGTGTTACTGTCAGTGGTCACAGTGTTGGGGCTGATCAATAGATATACACATATAAATATAGATATGTGTATGTATATATGTATATTTATTACCCCCCTAGAACACTGCGTTCTCTGAATGCAGGGCTACTTGTGGTTCCTATAGTCTCTAAAAGTAGAACAGGAGCCAGAGCCTTCAGTTACCAAGCTCCTCTCCTGTGGAACCAGCTTCCAGTTGTGGTTCGGGAGGCAGACACCCTCTCCACATTTAAGAGTAAGTTTAAGACGTTCCTCTTTGATAAAGCTTATAGTTAGGGCTGGATCAGGTGAGTCCTGAACCATCCCTTAGTTATGCTGCTATAGGTCTAGACTATCGGGAGATTTCCCATGGTGCACTGAATTCCTCTCTTCTCTCTCTCTCTCTCGTTCTGCACTCATTCATGTCCCATTAATGCATGTTACTAACTTCACTTCTTCCCCAGAGTTCTTGTGCTTTCTCGTCTCGCAGGTTCTCATGGATCCTGGTGGAGCCTCCTGCCATGGTCCTGCTTGACTGCCATTCCTAATATCACTGATATTATTGTTAGGGACCAAGCCAGTGTCAAACACTGTGAGGTCTCTTTTGTTTTTGCTATGTCTATTATTACGCTTCGCCCCTTTCACTGCATTTTTGAGCCCCTGAACATATACATCGGATGAATTTTATTTGGCAAAGTGGTCAGGCCTAGTGAAAAATTGGATGTTCTATGCGACACATTTGGCTCGGCCACTAGGTGGCGCTACTATTAAGAAAAGTAGGTTTAGGCTAATAACTCCCGCATTGTTTGTCTCACATTCAAAAACCTTATATCCACGCGTTCGGTGAATGGAGCTGAATCTCCCCATATAGGCCACGCCCACGCCTATAATTTGTTTTCGCTACAGTGCGAAAATGTCCATGCACAACGTTCAGCGTTCCGTCTACACGTTTGTTTTTTTTATCCGATTTGCATGAAACTTTTCGCGTAGCATCTGGGGACCGTCCTGGCATAAAAAGTAATTTTAATAATTTTGATATTTCAAAACAGAAGCACATTATAAAATTAACACTTCCTGTTGATTTTTCGTCAAAAAAGGAAGTGGGGCCTTTCTCCACATTGGTATGTCTGATTGACACCAACCTTGGGTCAATAGTTCCTTATGTCTTCATTAGGCATTGTGCACAATTTCAGGCCATCACCACAAGGTGGCGCTCTTTAAACTGAAGAAGTTTATATCTCCATATTGGCACGTGTGATTAAAACTATGATAAAAACTTGGTACGATGATTGCCCATGGCTCCCTGAGGCTCACTTAAAAAGGAGGTAAAAAAACACGCCACTGGGTGGCGCTCTGGTGGCAGGGTAAATCACTCTCCGGAGACTGTAATAGTTATGAATATGAAATTCACAGGACACGTGTAGACTGGTGCCTGTTTGTCGTGTCTGTAGCGCCCCCTACAGTATTTCAACAAAGCAGCCCCGACGCCACGTTTCATCAATGTGTATGAAACGGTAGGCATGTGTAACGTGCCGAGACCTACAGAAAAGCCTCTTGGACCCATGCCCCAAAACCCACAGGAAGTGGGCTATTTTCATTTTCATTTTCACTCTCGGCTGCCATTTTGTTTGTTTGTCATTTTAACTTCTTTGCCTTGTATTTGAACAAACTCCTCCTAGGGAATTTATCGGCTCTGCTTCAAAATTGGTCAGTACAGTCAAAAAATGTTGCTGACTGAACGCCGTGCTATATGCGACTGTACGGTGAAGGGCATGTCCGTGGCGTGCCGTCAAAGTTGGCCATTTTGAATCGAATGTCAAGCTATGATGCCATTTCCGGCATTTCAGGGCTCCTATTTTAACTAACTCCTCCTACAGGTTTTATCGGCTCGACTTCAGATTTGGTCAGCACAGTCAAAAAAAGTTGCTGACTGAATTTGTGCATGTACGTTGAAGGGTCGAAGTCAGCCTTCTAAAATTTTTTGTCATTTTCTGCAATTTGTCATGTTTTATTTGAACTAACTCCTCCTAGGGAATATATCGGATCAATTTCAAAATTGGGCAGTACGATCAAAACAAACTGTAGATGAAAAGTTGCGCTATTTGTGACTGTACGTTAAACCTCGTGCCAGTGACGACTTGTCAAATTCAGCCGATTTGCCATAAAACAGTACTCATAACTTCAGTGTGCAATGTCCAATCTCCAATAAACTTCATATATTCTGTAACAGTCTCTCCCTGAACACGTCCTACGTGGTCCAATCTCAATGAAACTTCACTTGTTTGATAAGAGTCCCGCCCTGAACATGTCTATGACAATATTCAGACATAGTGATATAACATCACCTACTGGCAACAGGAAGTAAGTGCTATGTGGCGATTTTGAGCTGATTCATGTGAGATTTTCATGTTGTGGTCCACACGTGTTACGATCGCATGTGACGCGGCAGCACCACGCCCCGAGTTGCGTGGAGTGCGAGGTCCCACCCAACGCTGTTTGCAGCTTTAATTATTATTATTAATATTATTATTACTACAGTTACTATTATTACTATTGTCACTGCTCATTGTCCCCCATTGTTGTTGTTGTCATCATCATCTTCTTCATGTTCAACATCATCACTCACTACAATTAGTGTAGTTGTTGCTACTGTTGTTGCTGTGCAGTTGTCTGTCTGTCTCTCTCTCTCTCTCTCACCCCAACTGGTCGAGGCAGACGACCACCCACCTAGAGCCGAAGGGTCTGTCCTAGGTTTCTGCCTCTTAACAGGCAGTTTTTCCTTGCCCCCCGTCGCCAAGTGCTTGCTCATGGTGGTACTGTTGGGTTTCTGTAAATGTTATAAGGAGTTCGGTCTAGACCTGCTCTGTTTGAAAAGTGTCCTGAGATAACTTCTGTTATGAATTGGTGCTATACAAATAAAATTGAATTGAACTGAAATGGAATTATGCATATAAATATATGTATATGATGACTACAAATATAGATTGTTGTTCTGTGTGTCCTCACCCGTCCGTCTTTGTCCACTCCTGCAATCTGTCCCGTAGCGATTCGGATCTTATCAGGATGGATGGCCAAACTAACGGAGAGAGACACAGATTTGATGTCACAGATGTGTGAGCACAAAGCAGCCAATAGGAGAGCAGCAGATGATTTCTCACCATTTGACACAGTCGGTGTGTCCGAGGTAATGTCTCTGAGTGCGTTCTTCGTAATTAAACAAAGTGACGACAGAGGCGATAAAGTACACGATCTCTCCGGTTGGTAGGAGGTAAACGTTGGCTCTGCAGTCTCTGCCGCGGTATCCATACCTACAGGAAGTCAAGGATGCACCTGGAAAACACCTGGAGTTCTACTGAGATGAAGGTTTACTGAGGATCTACTAGTCTATGGAGGTCTACGGAGGTCTAAATAACCTCTATAATAACAATAAATAAGTGTCTCTCTCTGTCTGTCTCTCTGGTAAAGGTTAACTCTAACCCGCTCAAGGCTACTGTCTAGACCTGCTTGTTTTATGAGAGTGGTCTTTCTTATTGTCCTCCCTGTGTACTGTGTGAAGGATACACCCACTCCAGCTTGAGTCGTTCTGAAGGAAGTTCTGTCCGAACCTCCTCGTAGTTGTCCACGTCTGAAGGGATGAACATGGTGATGGGTCGACCGCGCATGAACATCTTAATGTGGTTCCCCTCTGAAACAGCAGACAGACACACAGAGACCAACAGTGAAGCTAACAAACTGAGCTCAAAGCTTCTGCTGATGCATTAAAAACCAAACGACAGTCAGACACACAGGTGAGGGACAGGTGAGGAAGCACTGATGCCATGCAGGTGAGGCAGGTGAACCAGATCAGACAGAAACACCTGCCGTGTTGTTGTTTACCTCCATAGAATCAACAACCTGCCAATCAATGTGAGGCTGCGCACAGCAGCGCCCAATGACATGCTTGACTTTAAGGTGGTGGGCGGGGCTTCTGTTTATGTCAGTGACTGGTCTAATTGATTTCAGGTATCACCTGTTCAACCATCTATGGAGGTAAAACACAGCAGGGGGCAGGGGCACAGACAGGTGTGACATCACCTTATCAGTCTGAAGGAGAGAAAGAGCAGGTGTGTGAGCGGGGCTGACGGCGTAAAGCAAGAGAGAGAGAGAGAGAGAGAGAGAGAGAGAGAGAGAGAGAGAGAGAGAGAGAGAGAGACACAGGTGATTGGTCCAGAGAAGAAACAGTAAGTGCGAGTTCAACTGCTGTTAGCATGTTAGCCTACTAGCTCGCTCCGACGACTCATCAGGACTTACCAGCTTGGCTGTTTTTCTCTCGGGTCGACATTTTGGCTGATTTGAGACAAAGACATTGTCACTCAACAACAACAAAAACAACACATAACAAAAACACCACATACGATACCACAAACAAAAAATACTTACAACAACACAAACAACAACATAAACAGCAACAAAAACAACCACAAACAACAACATAATAAACTCCAAAAATAACAGACAACATAAACAAAAACCACACAAACACAAACACAAAGAAAAGCAATAACACATACAACAATACAAACAATAACAACAATATCACGTGTCAGAGTCATTCAGGAGAACAAAAACTGAAGAGGATTCCTGCTGAATGGTTTTAAATGTGTCAGACGCTGTTTGTCTACTGCTGGCTTCTTATTGGCTGTTACAAATGATGATGAGGATGATGAGGATGAAGACTATGGTACCTTGATGATGAAGATGAGGATAAATATATATTTACCTTGACTGACCACCGGGTCTTTGTGTCTGAAATGGCAGAAGGAAACAAACATCTCACTCTGGGTTTCTGATTCAGAATGAAAGACTGTTGATCAATCAATCAATCAATCAATCAATCCATCAATGAAAGTACTTGGTCGGCACTAACAGTATACAGACTGATATATTGATCAGCACTAACACTGTGAGCACTGGACTCCCTGACTGGTCCCAGACCAACAGACTGCTCTGCACTGTGTTCTGACCCCTTTCTATCAGAATCGGCATGAACTGTTTCAGCAGTTTGAGCTACAGTAGCTCGTCTGTTGGATCAGACCACACAGGCCAGCCTTCACTCCCCACCTGCATCAATGAGCCTCGGCCCCCCATGACCCTGTCTCCGGTTCTGTTCCTTCCTTGGACCACTTTTGATAGGTACTGACCTCTGCAGACTGGGAACCCCCCACAAGAGCTGCAGGTTTGGAGATGTTCAATTCAATTCAATTCAATTTTATTTGTATAGCGTCAATTCATAACAGAAGTTATATCAGGACACTTTTCAAATGTTCTGACCCATCACAATGTGGTTCTTGTCAAAGTGGATCAGATCCTCACGCTGTCCATTTTTCCTGCTTCTAACACATCAACTTTGTTCACTGTCTGCCTGATATACCCCCCCCCCACTGAGGGCTCTGTCCTGGGGCCCCTTCTCTTCATCATCTACCTCCTTCCCCTTGGCAATATCTTCCGCAAATACAACATCCATTTTCATTGCTACGCGGATGACACCCAGCTCTACCTCTCCAGCAAACCCAAGCGGCTCTCTTATCCAGAAATATGGCGAAGTTTATTTCTAAAACCTGACAGTCCACAGTTGGGACCAGGAAGCAGAGCTGCTGTCTTACACACTTCTCTGCGCTTTCTTTAGAACAGTCACCCACCCAAAACCCCATAGAGACTGTGTCTGTCCCCCGACGACCGAAATTACTTAAAGAAATAAAAACAAGAGGAGTTCAACATAAAAATCTAATAAAATTAAAACCAACTCCTCAGTAGCACAAAATAAGAGAATGAAATGTGGGCTGTTAAATATCAGGTCTCTGTCTTCAAAAGCTGTTTTAGAGAATTAATTAATATCAGATTATGATATTGATTTACTTTGTCTTACTGAGACCTGGTTGTCCCACGAGGAGTATGTTAGCCTAAATCCACCCCCCCAGTCATATTAATACTCACATTTCTTGAGGCACAGGCCGAGGAGGTGGAGTGGCAGCCATATATGATTCGAGCGTTTTAATGGACCCTAAACCTAAACTAAATTATAATTCATTTGAAAGCCTTGTTCTTAGTCTCTCTCACCCAAACTGGAAAACACTGCAGCCAGTTCTATTTGTTATAGTGTACTGCGTTCCTGGACCGTACTCTGATTTTATGTATCAAGTTTAGTCCTTAAATCAGATAAAGTAAATATTGTAGGTGATTTTAATATTCATGTGGATGTTAACAATGACAGCCTTAGTAACGCATTTATATCATTAATAGACTCAATTGGCTTCTGTCAGAGTGTAAATAAACCAACTCCTTGTTTTAATCACACTCTTGACCTTGTTCTATCATATGGCATTGATATTGAACATTTAATAGTCTTCCCACATAATCCTTTCCTATCTGACCATTATTTAATAACTTTTGAATTCATACTATTAGATTATAAACCATTAGGCAAAACTTCCTACAGCAGTCCTATAACAACTTTAGTCCCTCCGAAATTGATAATCTTGTCGATAGTGCTGCAGGCTCACTACGATCAACATTAGACTCTATCGCTCCTATAAAAAGGAAATTATTAAAACATAGGAGACGAGCACCGTGGTACAACCACCAAACCCGCCAGTTAAAGCAAATAGCTAGGAAATCTGAAAGGAAATGGCGCTCTTCCAAATTATCAGACTATCGCTCAATTTGGCAAGATAATCTTAAAACTTATAGAAAGGCCCTCCGTAATGCCAGAGGAGCCTATTACTCAGCACTAATAGAAGAAAATAAGAATAACCCTAGGTTCCTCTTCAGCACTGTAGCCAGGCTGACAGAGAGCCACAGCTCTATTGAGCCACATATCCCCATAAACTTAAGTAGCAATGACTTTATGAGCTTCTTCCATAATAAAATTATTACTATTAGAGAGAAAATTAATCACCAACTGCCATCAACAGTTATCAGTGGCTCTCCAAGTTCAGGGACTTTTGCTAATGTAAACTTAGATATATATTTAGACTGTTTTTCCGCTATCAGTTAACTTCAATAATTTCTTCATCAAAGCCATCAACCTGTCTATTAGACCCGATCCCAGAGAACTTCTGTTATGAATTGCCGCTATACAAATAAAATTGACTTGAAAATTGAATTGAATTCCACTCTCCCACCTTCCTCCCTTACTGGCTGCTTCACCGAGCTTAAATCCTGGTTCTCCTCCAACTTCCTCAAACTTAACAGTGATAAAACAGAATTTCTTCTCATTGGCACTAAATCAACTCTCTAAAAAGCTGACAGTTTTATTAATCGCCTCCACCCTTCCCTTTCAATTCAATTCAATTCAATTCAATTTTATTTGTATAGTGCCAATTCATAACAGAAGTTATCTCAGAACACTTTTCAAATAGAGCAGGTCTAGACTGAACTCTTTAAAACATTAATTACAGAGACCCAACAGTACCACCATGAGCAAGCACTTGGCGACAAGGGCAAGGAAAAACTGCCTGTTAAAAGGCAGAAACCTAGGACAGATCCTCCGGCTCTAGGTGGGTGGTCGTCTGTCTCAACCAGACGACCACCCACCTAGAGCCTTTCTCCCCACTCCACTGCCATTCTTGTACACAGCCTTGTCACCTCCTGCATCGACTACTGCAACTCCCTTCTCTTCGGCCTACCTCACAAATACCTCCATAAATTTTAACTGGTTCAGAATCATCACCAGAACCCCCTCCATCCACCACATCACCCCTGTTCTGCAGCAACTCCACTGGCTCCCGGTCAAACTCTGCATACACTTCAAAATCCTCCTGTTTACGTTCAAGGCCATCCACAACCTTTCCCCTCCTTATCTGTCCGAACTCCTCCACATCGCCACCCCTTCCCGTTCCCTCAGATCTGCCTCCTCTGTCCACCTCTCTGTCCCTCCCGCCCGCCTCGTCACCATGGGGAGCAGGGCTTTCAGCTGCTCTGCCCCCCAACTCTGGAACTCACTCCCACTGCACCTCAGGAACCTGGACTCTCTCACACTCTTCAAATCAAGACTAAAAACACACCTATTAAGAACTGCATACCCCACTTAACTATCTACATTGTCTTTTCTCATCTGTTTCTTATTTCTTACTGTTTTTATTTTTTATGTGTTGTACGGTGTCCTTGAGTGCCCAGAGAGGCGCCTTTAAATAAAATGTATTATTATTTATTATTATTATTATTAAAGTGCTTCACTGAGCTGAAATTGAACATTTCAAACTAAAACACTAAGCAAAATAAAACATTTCCAAATAAAAGTTCGATAAGAAACGTTGTTGACCCGCTCACGAATGCACTATTTCCGGCCATATTCTGACCGCACTCCTGACAGTACACGCAGTGCATTGCGTTATGTCCTTTTATTGTACCTCAGCCAGGGAAATTGTTTCAGCCTGACGTCTGTCAGTCTGACGGAATCTATGTTGACCTTTTAAATTTGGGTCTCTGAGCCGGGCTCTATCCCAGACTCCGTTGTCTCCTCTGGTTCCGAGTCTGATGCTGACCCGCCCGAGCTCTGTCTCTTATTGGTTTAGAACACGATATGATCCTACCATGAGTGTGTGAGTTCGGTCACAGGAGAACAAAGAGAGATGATGCGCTTGCGAAATAAATGTATGTTTTCACCCGGACAGCGTCAGGTGCACCAGTGCGACCTAGAAAAATTATTAGTTGCACTCTTAAAAATTTTGGTCGCACTCTGGAGTCCTGTCCTCACCAGAGGATCCTTTCTACATAAAGGAGAAGCGGCTCTACTCCGAGTCCCTCGTGGATGTCCGAGCTTCTCACCCTATCCCTTTCGACTCAACTTTTTTTTTGAGACAACTGTTCGATAAAGGGACCCTTAAACCCTTATCCAGGAGTAAGGATCCAGAGTGTTGACTGTGCGTAGAAGTAAGCCCCACCAGATCTAATTGATAGTGCTCCACCTGTAGCACCAGTTCTGGCTCCTTCCCCCCCAGCGAAGTGGCATTCCACATCCCCACAGTCAGCTTTTGCTGCCCAGGTCTGGTCTGTCTAGGCCCCCTGCCTTTACTGTCACCCATTTGGCATTGCACCCGACCCAAGTGTATTCTCCCGTGACTGGTGGGCCCGTGGGATGAAGATGTGGCCACGTCACTCTTTCGGGGCAAGCCCGGCAACCAGGCACTCTCTTTCAGGCCCCCCTTCCAGGAAGTTTGAATTATTCTGATCCAAACCTTACCCTATCATTCCTCCCAGTGAATATTTCCCAGATAAAATGGGTTACTTCCAGGCTAGCTTGTTAAAAATAAATAAATATAAAAATGAGCCAGTCTTTTGACCCGGCTCCCTTCAAAGAGCCATAAATCCCATCTCTATGATATACGTCACCCCCCACTGACAGGAGCCCTGATACCCAGATAATCAGTGTTACTGGCAGAGCTCACTGTGTTAGGACTGATCAATGGATATGTGTGTATATTATATTATATATATGTTTTTAAAAAATACATGGGTGTATTTACCTCTCAGCGTTCTTGGCGACTTTGGCGAGCAGTTTGGAGGTGGACGCAGCTTTCACCAGTTTGTTCCGGTTTTCCTCTGAAGTGTCCCAGGTGCTGCTCTGAGAACGCTCCATACCTGAGGACCGCTTCACACTGGGCCCCCTGAACACACACACACAATACGACAGTAACATCAGGAGGAGGAAGTCACTGGGAGTCACTGAGCTCCAGATCACTTTGTTTTTTTGTTTCTGACTGAATCTCTGATTATTGATTGGTGTGTAGTTTTGAAGTCTGTGAACAACAGCAAACAACTGAATGCACACATTTATCTGTTCCAGTCATACGACGTGCATATGTTGGATTCATTTCCCATAAGCTTCAATAAAACTGGACCCAATCAATAACATATTGACCCTTTATTAGTTTGATTGGATATCTGGATCATCTGAGGACTCACATCAAACAGCTTCTGATTGGTCCAGAATGAAATATCTCAAAACCTATTGGATGGATTGTAATAAGAAGTTTATTGATCCAGACTTTTCATCATCATCTAGCGCCACCATCAGGCCAATGTGTCCAATACTTTGTCTTTCTATCTAACACACATACTGCCTGACTCCCTGAATGCGCAGTGATATTATCTGATGAGAAGCAAGTCAACAATTAACCATCAATCACAATTGTCTTTAATTCAAACTGATTGATTAGTTCAAAGATTCAGTTTGTGATTCTGTAAATCTCAGTGACTCAGAGTTAAACACATGACCTAGAAAGAGGTTAGTGAGCTGGGAGGCATCAGAAACTACAGGAGACCTGCTGGAGGAACAGGAAGAGGAGGAGGAAGAGAGGTGAAGCTGGGAGAAGAACAATGTTAGTAGATTTGATCAAACACACGCAGCCCAGCTTGACCTTTCTACCAGCAGAGTAAAGAAGAGCCAGAGGGGGCAAGGATTCAGGAGGCTCCAGTATCTCCAAAAGTGTTTTTCCACCCATACACACACACGTGCTGTTTGACTCAGCTCAGCAGCCCAGCACGGCAGGGATTTGCATTTCCACATCAACAGTGCTACCTGCTGGAAGGTGTGTATGTATAGAGAGAGCGCGATGGTCGAGAGAGCTAAAGATTGAATGAAAAGAGAGTTCAGCCGCTAAGCTTTGCCTCACACTTTTACAGTGTACAGTTTCTGAACACAACTGTACGGGCTGGCTGTGGTCGATCACTGCATCCCACTTGGAGGCAGGTTGGAGACACTTTGGATGGACTCCAAAGGTTCATCTCTGTTGAGCAATGTTCAGTGTGGTTAAAGTGGTGATGGAAATGCAAATCAGCGTAGCCAAAAGTGCTGATGGAAAAGCCCTACTGGAGACCTCAGGGTTAGGGTTAGAGCTTCTACCAGCAGAGAGTAAACAGGATCTCGAAGAGGTCACTCAGACCTGCTCCTGAGAAACCACAGTCCTGTCCCTTTTCAACCTTTATCTGAGCCAGGTATTCAGGTGTAGGCGGAGCCAGAGAGGACTGTGGTTCTTAGGGGCGGAGTTAGTCAGCAGGAAGTGAGGTTTACAAAGTGGAACCTTTTGGGAGGGGCGTGGCCTTTACTGCTGTCAGTGGACTGGGCCGGTCTCTGAGGGGTCTGGGGGGTCTGAGGGGTCTGGGGAGGGTGGGGGGAGGAGGGAGAGGGGGATGGGTCCTTTGGGCGAGGAGGCTCCTCACGCTCCTGGATCTCTTCCATCAGAGACCGCTGGTTGCTGGTCTCCTTCTTCCTGTCTGCTCCACTGTGGACAAAACCAGGACCATGAGAGACCACAAACTACTGATTCTACTCTACATAAATGGACATACATACACATACGGTTCTATTGGTTCTACTGGTTCTACTGTGTAGGGATGTCTCAATACCAGAAACTTAGTAGTCCATACCAATACCCTTGAAACTCCATTCTAGATACCACAGTAAAATATCCTGATCAAGTTTTATTGCCCCTGATCCCCATTTATTATTGATTATCTGCTGATACAGTTCTGATCAATACTTGTATGTTCCTTATTAATACAGGTGAATATCTCTGCAGTGCATTAAGATAAAAAGCAGTTCCTTCTTGTTTATATACTAAATAACACAGTAGGATATTCCTGCAGACCGTCTGTAGCTGCAGTCTTTACCTGAGTCGACCGAATGAGCTATTTTCCTCGGATTACATTAATCAATGACTCTTATTGGATTTTTGTTGGCATAGTGAGTGTGCAGCTCTCCACTGCTCTGACCAGGAGCTCAGCCTCGCCCACCTATGGTACTGTAGAAAAGCAAGTACTGTCAAGTTTGCAGAATTTTGGCATTGACTTGGCATTTCAGTTCTTGTGACATCCCTACTACTGTGTTTCTACTGACTCTACTGGGTTTACTACAGTGATTCAAACCACCAAAATCCATCTGAGACTGCTGGCTGCCGACCACTTCCTTCCTGTCTGCTCCACTGTGGACAAAACCAGGACCATGAGAGATCACAGACTACTGATTCTGCTGTTTCTACTGTACTACTAATGATATCACTCTACTGCAGGACAAGACCACTGGGCCTAACCCTAACAGCAGAGTCGCTGATTTTATCAATTACATCAGCCAGATCGACATGATCTGGTCTGCAGACACTCTGGAAGATGAAATCAAAGCACTGTGAAGAAAAATAATCAGTGAAAAACCCTTTCAAATAAAATAATTGCCATTATCAGACGGATGCTGAGGGCGTGTGTGTATGTGTTTACCTCTTGGCGGCGGATGACACCGTCTCTTTCCTGGTGACGGACGTGGAGTCTCTCTTTCGTCCAGATGTTCCTCCGTTAGCGATACAGGACATTGAGTATGCTTCACGTAGTGCAGCACCGCCTGCAGGGGGCAACAGATTGCCGTTCACACTGATCATATTCACTTAACTCAATATACTATAACCAGTAAAAAACTGAACGTGACCAGTTACAGACTGAATATGACCAAAGCACATGAAAGGCAAATTCACCCCCCAGGGACCAATAAAGTATTTCTGATTCTGAGTGGGAGCAAAGGGGCGGCATGAGCAGCTCCATCCTGCTCCAGTTTGTATGTGAATGCCTATCCCCAGTAGCATTGTGTCATTCCCACACTTCTATTCATTGTTCATTTGTGTGTCAGCACAAGTTTGAGCCTTTTTACACACCAGTCAACTGGAGATTCTGCCAACCCTAACCCTGATCTTAATAATAACCTTATGAATTACATGTTCATGGATCAGCGTGGTGTCGCTTCTTCTGCAACAATGAAGTTAAAATGATCTGCATGGAGGGGCTTTATCCTGCTGCCTGTGTGTGTGTGTGCCCGGCGTCACACATACAGCTTTAACAGATTAAATTAAAACACAACGCAGCATTTTTCGGAGCAAGCGGTGAGATTTTAGTGGAGGGACGTGATCTAGAGGATCGGAGTTGAGTTTACAGTCCCTAATTTGCAGTGCAAATTGGTTATAAAATCAAATTTAGAATATTACTTGGCAGCCCTAATACCACTTGTATAGAATTTAGGCTGTTGAATAACATGTCAATTATTAATTTGATCTAGAGAGGGGTCATCTATGCCAACCTCATGTCTACAGGGCATAGACAAGACATTTTACAGTGCAGGTGCAGTGGGACACACAACCCAACCGAACAAAACCAAAAAAAGGTAGAAAACTTTTTTGGCTTATTCTCTGAACAAGCATGAATTAATGAAATATTAAGTGCCATATTTGAGTTCTCTATTCAGTTTGTATTATGAGCCCTTTTGAACCCTAACCCATAATAATAGAAAAAATAAATAAAGGAATATCTTATCTTATCTTAATGATTGGTGGGTGAAATCTACTTTGTCTCTACTAGCACAGATACTAAATTACTCTAATATGCTCTGTGAATTATATATTAACAGTAACTCATGCTCATCTGCTGGGATTACAAGATACTTTTAGTTTTAGCTGTTTTTATTTATGGAGGAAAATGTTCAGCTGAATTGATGCACATCAGTCAGCATGGTAGGACATAAACAGAAATCCAACAAAAAACAACAAAACATTACCTTTCCCTCCATGTTGTTTCTTGGTTGAGGAGGCAGCAGAGACTTCAGAGGCAGCGAGACGGCGAAGGACGTCAGCAAGAGCTGCTTTCATCACCGTCAACTCATCTTCCTGCTGCTGAACACGAAGCTCCAGAGCAGAAAGGCGATCGTTGACATCTGACACACTTGCTCCAGACATACTGTCATCTACAGTGAGAGAAACACTGGATCTTAACATACTGTCATCTACATTGTTGTATTATCTCTGAACAAAGTCGTTGTCTACATGTCATGGGCAGACAGCTTGTTGTTGTTGGTATTTCAGAGTAAGTATAAATATTAGGGACAGTAACGGTACATGTATTTGTCCTGAACTGGACATCTTGTACCAACTGGTATGTGACTTACTCAGTTCAGTATGCACTGTGATCCAAACAATTACTGTCAGAATAGTCAGTCCACTACTCGCACAGGCAGAACAGAAATTCGAGATTACCAGTTTTACCCAGAAAGTTTTGGCAGTGCACCAATTGTTATCTATACGCTATAGCATGCTGCTCAGCTTAGCTTTGTTAACCCAGTTAGCCAGGCTTACAGAGGTAGTGTCACTGTAATCCATAAGCAAACACGTTTCACTGTATAGGAGCATTTACTGGTTAGTTACAGCGAAAATGGACCAAGATTAGTGGAACGAATGTGTCCATTGGCAGAATGAGACAGAAACAAAGTGGACAGTTGCGTTTCAGAGAAGATTCAGGCCAAAGTAATAAGTAATGACCGAGTTAGTGTAGAAAATACAGGATTTAAGCATTTGCTCAACGTGCAAGATACTTCAAGTTCAGTCAACCTACAATCAACAGACATCTGCAGCTTCTCTTTAGAAAACCAGGGTTGTTAGCTGAGTGCTAACATAAAGCTAGTGTCTTCAGACAGATTAACTCATCAACAAAGGAAGACTGTAGTACTTTCAAAATAAAATCATCATAAACTATTGTTAAAGTTCAACTCCATGTTAATGTGTGTTGTGTTTTGTTTACATGTTGATGTTTACATGTTCACGTTTATGGGTGTAAAGTTAAGATCAGTGATGGGGGGTTGCAGTGTTCAGGTGTCTGTGTGCATATTTGGGAGATTTGGGGGGGGGTGTTACACACTGGTATATGTGTTATATTTCACAGCTGTCCCTCACATTCCTCAGCTTTAAACCCTTTACCCCCCCCCACACACACACACCCACACACACATACATGTACACACACACACACACAGTAACCCTAATAGTGATCTGATCAATTCAATATATCTAACAGAGAATTTAACGTTTTAGAAAACAAACTACATCTTGTGGACTTGTTTTGTGCGTCAGTGATTCAGAAACAGAAAAACTAAGTGTTCAGTTGCATGTGTCTGCATGTCTGCTTTACTACCACACACACACACACTGTAATTCACTTCAGCTGACTTCAACAGCAACAAGAAGGGAAATTTTTTTCTCACACACATTTGTCCCTCTACACTTGCGAGGACCCTGGTTGATATAATGCATTTCCTAACCCCTAACCTAAACCTGAATCTCAAAACCAAGACTGAACCTTCAAAAATGTCCACAGAAGTTGTGAAGACCGACCGAAATGTCACCATAATAGGGCTATCAGATATATAAGATAGATGTGTATATCACTATATAACTAAAATAAATAAATATGTAAAATTACCACATGTAAGGGCCTATTAATAATTACATTTAGAATTATATACTCAATGAATAACAGGTACTTTATCATATTTAATTGCTTTTCTCCTTTATATTTAGGATCTTTGTACAAACGTTTTATTATTCAGTCAACAAAACATAATATAAATGGATACCCAGGTATGTTAACGTCCAGCTTAATTTAAGCACTAGAAACACAGAGAGCAGGAGTCAGAGTCAATGGAGTCAATAAAGTCAATGGAGTCAATGAGTCAGAGTCAATAAAGTCAGTCAATGGAGTCAATAGAGTCAATACAGTCAGAGTCAATAAAGTCAATGGAGTCAGAGTCAATGGAGTCAATGGAGTCAATGGAGTCAATAAAGTCAATGGAGTCAATAAAGTCAATGGAGTCAGAGTCAATAAAGTCAATGGACTCAATGGAGTCAGAGTCAACAGAGTCAATGGAGTCAGAGTCAATACAGTCAATGGAGTCAGTAAATACAGTCAATTGAGTCAGTAAATACAGTCAATGGAGTCAGAGTCATTAAGGTCGCTCTCTCTCTCTCTCTCTCTCTCTCTCTCTCTCTCTCTCTCTCTCTCTCTCTCACCCCAACTGGTCGAGACAGACGACCACCCACCTAGAGCCGGAGGATCTGTCCTAGGTTTCTGCCTTTTAACAGGCAGTTTTTCCTTGCCCTTGTTGCCAAGTGCTTGCTCATGGTGGTACTGTTGGGTCTCTGTAATTAATGTTTTAAAGAATTCGGTCTAGACCTGCTCTATTTGAAAAGTGTCCTGAGATAACTTCTGTTATGAATTGGCGCTATACAAATAAAATTGAATTGAATTGAATTGAATTGAATTAAGGTCAATGGAGTCAGAGTCAACAGAGTTAATTGAATCAATAGAAACAGTCAATAGAGTCAATACAGTCAGAGTCAATAGAGTCAAAGTCAATGGAGTCAGAGTCAAAAGAGTCAATGGAGTCAGAGTCAATAAAGTCAGAGCCAACAGAGTTAATTGAATCAATAGAAACAGTCAATAGAGTCAACTGAGTCAATAGATTAAATAGAGCTGATCACAAGTGGACAGTTTACAGCTCTAAATAAACACTATAGAACCCTAACCCTGCTGCTGTCAGTGTCCATTATCTCTGTCCTCTATTAGCAGCCTGCAGCAGAGACGCTCTGTGGTGCATTGTGGGATTTTATAAGTGAACTTTATGAGTGTTTATCTGATGTTTGAGCTCTCAGATGATGAAGACAGACATTAATGTCAGAGACAGTAACAGGATGCTGACAGTCCAACAGTCACAGTGGATGCAGGAGAGGACATTGGACCGCCGTCCAGACAACATGCTGGAAATAACTCTGGAACAACTTAATGTATACAAGAAATAATGACCAATGTGTGGTAGACAGCTTCTGTTCTCCTCACTCAGTAACTCTAATAACATGTAATGTAAACTAATCATATGTAATATATAATGTAAACTACTAATAACCCTGATAACATATATTATAAACTAATAATAACTCTATTAATATATAGAATATAAAGTGAGTGATTTTTGAATGGAGTCTGGTTACATTGACGTTATTAGTTCACAAACAGCTGCTGCTGATCTCAGATCAGATCCAGACGGACAGTTTCTGTGTTCTTACAGGACGTCAGTGAGAAGGAGCTGCTTCACTGTGAACCAGGACCCACTAGAGTCCCAGACCACGTCAGGAAGTGGTCTGAGTGATCTGATCACAGTGAGTCTCTGAGGTGGTTCACACCGGATTTACAGGTTGATACCAGATGGATTATTATCATTATTGACAGGTAATAAATGTTGATCAGTTTTTATCTGAAGAGTTACATAAAGTAAACAAATCTGATCATTCTTATTGATCTATTGATGTCATTCAGAGCTCACTGTGTTTATAAACTGCAGCCAGTGGCTCCGACTACTTCCTGAAACACACACACACACACACACACACACACACACACACACACACAGGAGGTGTGAGCAGACTGGATGAACAAATAAATCATTTCCTGAGTCTTTGTTCTGCAGATCAGAGTCCGCACGCGCGCACGCACACACGCACTTAAACACACACCCATTTAGCCCTGCTCCTGAGCTCCCTGCTGGTCTCCAACAGATCCAGGTCTTTATGTCTAGGGGTCCAGGACTCTGCAGAGACTCGTTCAGGAGCAGCTGTTGGTTTTGTGGCCCTGCAGCCGCCGGAGGGGCGGTGCAGAGTCTTTCTGATAAATACAGCAGTGACACGTGTAAAGCCACCAGAGGCGCGTGCGGCTCTCTGCGTCCTGCCGCTGCACGGACAGGTGACCAGTTGATCTTTAGGGCGCGAGCGGCGGTCGGGACTCACCTAAACTGCCGGTGAATCCGTCCATTTTCCGGGAGAAAAGCGGGAGTCCGGGCCGGAGGCCTGCGGGAGGCTGAACGCACACTGCGGGCCTCCGTCCGGGTTTTTCCACCGCAGCGGGGTCAAGAAGAGCCGAGCCGGGTCTGTCCCCGCCGCAATGCCCGCCGTCCGTCCGTCACTGAGGCCGAAGATCCGCCGCTTTCCTCCACCTGGAAGAAGACGCCGCTTCCCGCAGGATCCGACAGCGAGACAGAGACCAAGAAGAGCCGCGGAGCCGCAGACAGACGGACCGACGCTGCTGCGCGCTTGCGCTTCCGACTCCGACTCCGCCTCCTGGCAGCTCGCGCTTCCCGGGGCGGGGAGGAGAACCGGGTCAGGTTTCAGTCTCTGTTCAGCAGCGCCCCCTGGCGGACACTCAGCATCATCACGCAAACAATAACAAGAGGAAGTGACGTAATAGTGTTTAGTAAAAAAACTTCTGTTTGTTGATAATCAGTAAGTCCAGTGGGGTATTGCACAAAAGTAGGATAAAGAAATCCAGGATAAGTGAGCAAGCACGGCTTGACTTAGCCTGCTCGGCGCATCCTGGCTTAATCGGTTGCACGTTTGCCGAGCCAGGATGAAAAGGCGCGGCTATGTTAAGCCAGGTGTAGATAGTCGGGATAAGTGCGTGTTCACGGCATACTGAAATAGACCTCGCGATCGCTCACAGAATCACCGATGGGAACATGGATAAGAGTCACGCTTCGTATTTCACGAGCCGCTGAAAAACAGCTGCTGATGGAGTTCTATGAAGAGGTGGAAGATAGAAGAAAAAAAGGCAATACCAATGCCATAATTAAAGAAAGAGAGAAAGCCTGGCTGACAGTAGCGGACCGGCTTAATGCTTAAGTAGTCCAAAACTGTACAATGAATAAACAGTGCTCCACTGGAACTGTCATAATTAGGCTCCAATTAAAGGACTAAAGGAGTTACTTTAAGTCCACTAATCAACTGTTGTACACTTTGCTTTAAATGTGGCAAGTAGAGGTTCATGTTACTCAGAAAATGTAAAGTATGATTAAGTGCAAACAATTATCCACAATGTGTGTCATTTAATCTATTTTTATCTATTTTATCTTTCTATCCTTCATAAAGAACAAACTTGTCTGGCCATAAAAGGACCTGGCAGCAAGTTAAAGTTAAATACAAGAACATTTTGCAGGCTGGAAAGTGACTTTAAAGTAGATAACAGTGAACAAATGAGGTGAATAGATTAGGTATCTGCTGACATGTTGAATGTCTGTATGATTGTAGCAGTTAAAAAAAGCCCATAGAACTGGCACAGGGGGCGGCCCACCAAGCCAGGATATGTGCTGCAAATGGTTCCTTTATTGAGGTTCTCTGCATCCCCAACAGAATAAAGGAAGCTCCCACTTGCAAAACATCTCAATGTAACACAGACCATCTGTGGTACAGTGAGAGCATGGCTTCCTGCCGTCTGGTGCTGTATTTTTGGACCCAGCAGCCTACATAAATATCTTAGTCCATCACCTGAGAATCTGTATCTCTCAATGAGATAGTCATCTCCAACAGCCAATGGGTCTGACCTGTCCCAGAAGACTCTTTCATGACTAAATGCTCGTCTGAGGATTAGGGCTTCCTCATCCAGTACATCCTCCAAGAAAGGGCAAGCCATTATGAAGAGGGAACAGGTGTGAATAATATATATATATTATGGCATGCCGTTTAGGAAATGAAGCTTTGAATATATGAAATGACTCTTGGATATACTGATAAAAATGTGAGAATACTGAATGAAATTGAAAACCTAGTTGTATCCTTTTCATCAAAGTGATAGCCTTCTGAATTAGCTGGTTTTACAAAATGGCATCAGTTGAAATATTACAATACTTTCTTAAACTGGAAAACTTTTTTGCTTTTTCTGTCAGGATTTAGCCTGAGGCCTGTTGTAGTCGGCCTGCCACCATTAAAAAGGGAGGGAACTTCTTCGTCAGGAGAACGGTATTGGGCACGGGTACTATGGGAAGGATTTTGGCCCGTACAAGCACTTGCCAATGAGTTAATAATGTCCTCATTGCTCAGTATTGCTGCCACAAGGTTCCTGACTGACTCATTCTCACTTCTACAAGATGACAGCAGTGCCTTGATTGACCAGTCAAGTTTCATTGAATATATTAAAAGATTCATTCAATATATTAAAAGTTTCATTCCATATATTCAAAGATTCATTTTATATATTCAAAGATTAATCTCTTAAACGGTATGCCATAATATATATACTATATTGCCCTTGTCACAGATTTCATTGAAAACACCTTTGCAACTTCATCAGCTGTGTTTTGTAATCTCAATTACTGCAATAAACACATATTTATGCAATTTGGCAAGCAGTCTTCATTAGCATAGCAATATAACACTTGTCCTGAGTAATAATACTACCACTTGAATCAATATAAAAAGACTGTTGCAATTACAAACAGCCAACAGATTTAAATGAAATGAGAAATGACAATATATATGTAATATTTTAATGCAGAATAATTAAAATGATGCAACATACTTAGAAAGACCATGGACATGCTGTAAAACACATTAATTCCTCACAGGATTGACGGTGGAAATACAGGTGAATCACTAGGATTAATCTTAGCCTGGCTGTTAGCCTGGTCTGGAGCAGGCTAACTGCAGAGAATAAATCACCATAGTAACTTGGCCGGGATAAGTTTAACCTGCTTTCATGCAACCGACTTGAGGCTAAATTAAGCCAGGATAACCAACATATCCCGGCTTAATCCCTTATCCTGGTTTTGTGCAATACCCCTCTGGATATTTGCTTTATGTGGGAATTAAATGACATGTCCTGATCAAAGATAACTCCAAGATTCCTGACAGTGGTGCTAGAGGCCAAGGCAATGCCATCGAGAGTAACTATATCTTTAGACAGTGAGCCTCTAAGGTTTTGGGGGCCAAGTACAAGAATTTCATTTTTTTTTTTTAACAATTAAAGTTAATGGAGTGCTTCCTAATAATGTTGCCTAGGGGAAGCATACAAAGGGAATAGAATTAGTCCAAGCACAGAACCTTGTGGAACTCCACGACTAACTTTAGTGTTTATGGAGTCAATAAAATATATCAAAAAAAAAATCTTTCATTAAAATCTATAAATACAAACTATCTATAAAGTCTATCAATAAAATCAATGTCCGCAGACAATGAGAACCGTGGAGGGTCAGCGTCCTCCTGTAGTGGATAGAGTTACTCTGATATAAATGAGGTTATTGATAAATGATCAGATGTATTTATTTGTGAATAAAGTAACATGAGATATAAAATAATTAATCATCAATAAACATACTAATAGTGTGCATTTATTGATAAATAGATTTATTTAATATGTACAAATATATGGAACTTTTATGAATAGTTGGCACAGAAAGTGAAGGAAGGAAGGAAACAAATCAAAGTCAGCGATCAGTGATCAATACTGTTCTGATCAATACAAAGAATTTCATTCAGAAATGAAAATATGAAACAAACTAGGATCAAACTTTATTTTTTATAAAAATCCACTTTTATATAAAAACAGAATCCCTTCACAATAAAAGTTGTCTGTTTTTCAAATTAAATCATAAAAAAGTTTCTGTGGTTCTGATTGGCTCAAAAATCCTGAAGTCTTTATTAACACAAAACATTGGAACAAAAAAACGTTATTTATCTAAAGCTCGTTAACATGAATCCAGTGTCAAAGTTCTCCATATTTATGCTCGGCCCATCGATTAGTGATAAAACTGATACTGACATTGATACTGATATTGAAAATAACAATATTTATTTTCTTTATAAAACCCGTAACATAAAAGTTATTTTCAGTTTTCATCAACGTGTCCACATTCAGCTGTTGATCAATCAGTTGATTAGCAGTTTCCACGTTCAACTGTTAGTTTATTGATTTATAGACTGAATGATTCATTGATAAATCAATTCAAAATGATGATGATGATGATGAAGGAGGCACTGAAGGTAAACAGCCAATCAGGTCAAAGGTCACACTGGTTCAATAAACATTCAGAGGTTGAAAGAGCAGAAAAAGACTCAGTTTGTGTTCTTATACTTCAGGAAAAGTAAAGGCAGTGCTGAGCAGTGACAAAACAACAAAATAAACAATAACAATAAATGTTCTCTTTCAGGACTTTGGCAGCTCCTACATGTTATCAGTTGCCAAAGCACCAACAGGAAGTGAAGGCAGATACAGGAAAAGAAGAAGGCACGTCTGACTTAAGAAAGCAGGTGGAGGCCCCACCCACTGTATATGGAAGCCCCACCCACTACAGGTGGAGCCTTCAGTAGCTGAATTTCACCTTCTCAATGTCGGAGATCAGAGTCCTGGCCAGGTAGATTCCCACCATCTGATCACAGGTAAACAGACACATCAGTACAGACCAGTACAACACTCAACAGTCTGCTCCTCAGGTTACCAGTAAAGTACCAGTACACATTAAAGTTCCAGTACTCACATTAAAGTACCAGTACTCACATTAAAGTACCAGTAAAGTACCAGTACCCCCATTATATTACCATGAAAGTTCCAGTAAAGTACCAGTACCCCCATTATATTACCATGAAAGTTCCAGTAAAGTACCAGTACTCACATTGAAGTACCAGTAAAGTACCAGTACCCCCATTATATTACCATTAAAGTTCCAGTAAAGTACTAGTACTCACATTAAAGTACTAGTACTCACATTAAAGTTCCAGTAAAGTACCAGTACTCACATTAAAGTACCAGTACTCATTAAAGTACCAGTAAAGTACCAGTACTCACATTATATTACCAGTAAAGTACCAGTACTCACATTATATTACCAGTAAAGTACCAGTACTCACATTATATTACCAGTTAAGTACCAGTACTCACATTAAAGTACCAGTACTCCCATTATATTACCAGTAAAGTACCAGTACTCAGTAAAGTACCAGTACTCCCATTATATTATCATTAAGGTTCCAGTAAAGTACCAGTACTCACATTAAAGTTCCAGTAAAGTACCAGTACTCACATTAAAGTACCAGTACTCACATTAAAGTACAAGTACTGTGACAGAGTATTTGTACCTGCAGCAGAGAGATCACAACGAAGACGATGGCCACAGTGTAGAGATTCCCAGGTAACCAGTCCTCTAATGCAACAATGCAACCTTTAACGTAGATATCATCATTCCAGGCCCTCTGTGCAGAGAACGTAAGAGAATGTTAGAGAACACATTACCGACAGAACGTTGGAGAACACGTTACCGACAGAACGTGAGAGAACACCTTAATGACCAAAGCTTAGAGAGCACATAACGGGCAGAACCTTAGTGAACACCTTAATGACAGAAGCTTAGGGAGAATGTTACCGACAGAACGTAAGGGAACACCTTAACGACAGAACGTTAGAGAGCACGTTACCAACAGAACCTTAGAGAGCATGTTACAGACAGAACCTTAGAGAGCATGTTACAGACAGAACGTTACAGAACACGTTACAGACCGAACCTTAGAGAACACCTTAACGACAGAACCTTAGAGATTCTTTGATAAAGCTTATAGTTAGGGCTGGATCAGGTGAGTCCTGAACCATCCCTTAGTTATGCTGCTATAAGCCTAGACTATCGGGAGATTTCCCATGGTGCACTGAGCTCCTCTCTTCCTCTCTCTTTCTGCACTCATTCATGTTCCATTAATGCATGTTACTAACTTCACTTCTTCCCCGGAGTTCTTGTGCTTTCTCGTCTTGCAGGTTCTTATTGATCCTGGTGGAGCCTCCTGCCATGGTCCTCCTAGATTGCCATTGCCAATACTGTTGTTGCTGTGCACCTGTCTGTCTGTTTGTCTCTCGCTCTCTCTCTCTCCCTCCCTGTCTCTCCCTCTCTCTCACCCCAACTGGTCGAGACAGACGACCACCCACCTAGAGCCGAAGGATCTGTCCTAGGTTTCTGCCTTTTAACATGCAGTTTTTCCTTGCCCTTGTCTCCAAGGTCTTGCTCATGGTGGTACTGTTGGGTCTCTGTAATTAATGTTTTAAAGAGTTCGGGCTAGACCTGCTCTATTTGAAAAGTGTCCTGAGATAACTTCTGTTATGAATTGGCGCCATACAAATAAAATTGAATTGAATTGAATTGAATAGAGAGCACTTTACAGACAGAACGTTAGAGAACACGTTACCAACAGAACGTTAGAGAACACGTTACCGACAGAACGTTAGACTGAAGGAACAGTAAGTGAGCTCACCTTTGGTCTGTTTCTCACATCGTAACCACACTGACTGTTCACCACCGAGTCCTGAAACAAACACAAACATACTGTTAACACACTTGTTTCTATGTGTATTAATCAGTATTAATCAGTGATCAACTCACAGCAGGATCGGTGATGCAGCAAGAGAAAGGAACCCCACACTTCTCTCTGCTGCGATGAGTCCCGTTACAGCTGAAATAAACATTCTGATCCCAGTCGTCAGGTTCCTGAGCTCCACAGCAGTGGTTCTGTTCATAGAACAAGATAATAAAGGTGTAACTGAAGGTTCCACAGCAGTGGTTCTGTTCATAGAACAAGATAACAAAGGTGTAACTGAAGGTTCCGGAGCTCCACATTATGACAGGTTACCATCCTCTGCAGAGAGTCGATGAGGTTCTGCAGGTCGATGTCATCTCTGTACGCTTTGATGTTTGCTAGGAAGAACTCGTTGATCCACTCTCTGACCTGACTCTGAAAAACCACTGCCAGCACCGCCGCCGTCAGCTCCAGGATGAAGATGAAGCCAATCACGCCCGAAAACTGAGTGCAAAGCAACGACTAGGTTAACGTATGTTAGCGTAGCGTACAGATGTGTTTAACGTACAGATTTGTTAGAGAACAGGTGTGTTAGAGAACCGATCTGTTTAAAGTACAGATGTGTTTAACATACAGATGAGTTTAACATACAGATGAGTTTAAAGTACAGATGTGTAAGAGAACAGATGTGTTAGAACAGATGTTTTTAAATTACTCATGTGTCTAACGTACAGAGGTGTTAGAGAACAGATGTTACAGAACTGATGTGTTTAACTTACAGGTGTTTTTAAAGTACAGATGTGTTTAACGTACAGATGTGTTAGAGAACAGATGTTTTTAAAGTACAGATGTGTTTAAATTACTGATGTGTTAGAGAACAGATGTCATAGAGAACAGATGTGTTAGAGAACAGATGTGTTTCAATTACTGATGTGCTTAACGTACAGATGTGTTAGAGAACAGATGTGTTTCAATTACTGGTGTGCTTAACGTACAGATGTGTTGGAGAACAGATGTCATAGAGAACAGATGTGTTTCAATTACTGATGTGCTTAACATACAGATGTGTTAGAGAACAGATGTGTTTAAATTACTGATGTGCTTAACATACAGATGTGTTAGAGAACAGATGTCAGAGAACAGATGTGTTTAAATTCCTGATGTGCTTAACATACAGATGTGTTAGAGAACAGATGTCAGAGAACAGATGTGTTTAAATTACTGATGTGCTTAACGTGCAGATGTGTTAGAGAACAGATGTCAGAGAACAGATGTGTTTAAATTACTGATGTGCTTAACGTACAGATGTGTTAGAGAACAGATGTTTTTAAAGTACTGATGTGTAAGAGAACAGATGTTTTTTAATGTACTGATGTGTTTGAAGTACTGATGTTTTTACAGATGTGTTTAACCTACAAACTTTAGTAGACAGATGTTTTCTCTCAGAGCTCCCACACAGCCGGCAAATCCCAGGATGAAGGTGACTCCGCCCACCACCAGGACCAACCAGACCGGGTCGAAACCATGCAGCCGGGTCACCTGGGTCAGATCCAACAGGACTCCCTGTAGAAAAGGTGAGAGTTCTATGTAATCTGATGTAACATGTACAGATTCAATTCAAATAATCAAACTAAGTTTTAACTCTTGCCCACAAAACGCTGTCATTAGGGACCGAGCCAGTATGAACTGGAAGGTCTCTATTGTTTTTCCTTCGTTTATTATTATTATTATTATTATTTTTAGGCCACTTTAACTGCGATTTTGAGCCTTGCGCATTTACACACTCTCAATTTTATTTGGCAGATTTGTGAAGCCTCATTTAACTTAGAGATTCTATGCGTCACATGCGGATCAGCCAGTAGGTAGGACACTAGGTGGCGCTGTTTCGGCCGATTTTGAAAGGCTAATAACTCCCGCATAGTTTGTCTCACATTCAAAAACCTTATATCCACGCGTTCGGTGAATTGAGCTGAACCTCCCCATATAGGCCACGCCCACTTCCGCCTAGATTTTTTTTTTTCTAGAGCGCAAAATGTCCATAAATCACTTTTTCGTGTTCCTCCTACACACTTTGTCCGATGCGCACGAAACTTTGCACGTTTCATCTGTGGACCGTCCTGACAACAAAAGTAATTTGAAGAATTTTGATATTATAAAACATAAGGAAGTTATAAAATTAGCACTTCCTGTTGATTTTTCATCAAAAAAGGAAGTGGACCATTTCTCCACATTGGTATGTCCTATTTACACCAAGCTTGGGTCCATAGTTCCCCATGTCTTCCTTAGGCATCGTGCACAATTTCAGGTCATCACCACAAGGTGGCGCTCTTTAAAATGAAGGAGTTTATAGCTCTACAACGGTATGTGTGATTAAGATGAAACTTTGTATGCTGCTTCCCCATGGCTCCCTGAGGCTCACCTAAAAAGGAAAAAAAATCACGCCACTAGGTGGCACTCTGGTGGCAGGGTAAATCACTGTGCGGACACCGTAATAGTTATGAATATGAAAGTTATTGGGCACGTGTAGAGTGCTGCCTGAAGCTCACATACCAAAAATCGTGTTTCTCGTGCTTGTAGCGCCCCCTACAGGATAAAAATAAATCAGCCCCGGCGCCACGTTTCACCGATATGTACGAAACTCAATAGGCATGTATAATGTGCCGGGGCGTACAAAAAAGCCTCTTGGACCCATACTTCAAATCCCACAGGAAGTCGGCTATTTTCGTTGAAAATTTGCACTTTTGGCAGCCATTTTGTGGTCATTTTGACCTTTTGGGCTTCTTTGTGAACTAACTGCTCCTAGGGAATTTATCGGATCTGCTTAAAAATTGGGCAGTACAGTTAAAACATGCTGCTGAATGAACGCATTTCATTTTGTGACTGTACGTTGAAGGGCGTGTCCGTGGCCTGCCGTCAAAGTTGGCCATTTAGAACTAATGTCACACTGTGATGTCATTTTTGCATTTCAGGGCTTCTATTTGAATGATGCCCTCCTACAGCTTCTATTGGATCTTCTTCAAAATTGGGCAGTCCAGTCACAACGTGGTGCTGAATGAACGCATTATATTTTGTGACTGTACGTTGAAGGGTGTGTCCGTGGCGTGCCCTCAAAGTTGGCCATTTAGAACAAATGTCACACTGTGATGTCATTTTGGCCTTTCAGGGCTTCTATATGAATGATCTCCTCCTACACGTTTCAAAGGATCTTCTTCAAAATTGGGCAGTACCGTCACAACATGCTGCTGAATGAACGCATTTCATTTTGTGACTGTACGTTGAAGGGCGTGTCCGTGGCGTGCCCTCAAAGGTGGCCATTTTGAAGCCCGTGGTCCTGTATTTGAACAAACAAAGTCCTTGAGACTTTATCAGATCTGCTTCAAAACTTGACAGGACTCTTGAATAATCTTGCTGATTACAAGTTGTGCTATTTATGACTGTACGTTGAAGGGCGTGTCCCAGGTGTCTCGTCAAAGTTGGACATTTTGAATTCTGTGGTCTTTTTTTTTCAAAGTGATGAAACACAAACACCCCTCCACTCCCACTAGCCACATCTACAAACCATATTTCCTAGGGAGTATTGTTCGTGGAGCAGAGTGGGAAACTGCTGGAAGTCAAGTGTTAAATTGCAAGATAAATAGGGGACTTATCAAATCGACTTCAAAATTGGACAGTCTTATAAAAACAAAGTGTACATGAAGAGTTGAGCTATGTGTGACTGTACGTCAAACGGCATGCCACTGACCCCTTGTCGAATTCAGATGATTTTCCATTAAGCGGTACTCATAACTTCAGTGTGCAATGTCCAATTTCCAATAAACTTCATATATTCTGTAACAGTCTCGCCCTGAACACGTCCTCATTGCATAAGCCTACGTATTACAGTCCTGCCATGAACTTGTCCACGTGACAAGATTCAGATAAAGTGAAAGCACAGCATACTGGCACCAGGAAGGAAGCGCTGCGTGGCGATACGGAGCTGATTTGGAGCAGATTTACGCCACGTATTCGCGTTGCGGTCCGCGCTTGTTACGACGGCACGTGCGTGGCCTCGGCGCACCCCGACCTCACATGACGCGTTTGCGGCGCGCCCCGACGAGCGCCGGGTGCGAGGTCCCGCCCAACGCTGCTTGCAGCTTTAATTTATATTTAATGTTCAGAACCAGAATCATACACACAATATATTCTCACATCTGTGACAGCTGTAGATTGCTGGAACAGTGGAAAGACTAATAAAGACGCTCTGTTGGAGTTTGAGTCAATTAAGTGCATTAACATGGAAATTAAGCTAGTCTTAAAGACAGATGTACGGGTGTATTTTTCTGTTTGATGAGGGACTATTGCTCTGAATAGAACTGAATAGAACAAACAGGAACACAGATTGAGAAACACATTGCCGATATATTGATTACTATTCCTAGCAACACTACTGCTTTATTATTTGAATACAGTTCACTCACCTTTTCACTCCACGCCCAGAAACCTGCTGCAATGAAGGCAGCTCCAGCCAGCTGAAACACAGAACCAACGTTTAGACGGGTCCAATGACAGACACACACCAGGAGAACAGAGGAGAACAGAACAGAGAAGAATAGAACAGAACAGAGGAGAACAAGCAGGAACGCAGATTGAGAAACACATTTCCTGCTCCATCAACCGCACAGGATACCATGACATCACTTCCTGTTAACAGATAACAGGAAACAGCTTTCAGTCTCAAAGAAAACTAGCCTCTGTCTCATGTCAACAGGTAAAGAGGTGTAAAGAGGTGTAAAGATGTGTAAACAGGTAAAGAGGTGTAAAGAGGTGTAAACAGGTAAAGAGGTGTAAAGAGGTGTAAACAGGTAAAGAGGTGTAAACAGGTAAAGAGGTGTAAACAGGTGTAAACAGGTGTAAACAGGTAAAGAGGTGTAAACAGGTAAAGAGGTGTAAAGATGTGTAAAGAGGTGTAAAGAGGTGTAAACAGGTAAAGAGGTGTAAAGAGGTGTAAACAGGTAAAGAGGTGTAAACAGGTAAAGAGGTGTAAACAGGTGTAAACAGGTAAAGAGGTGTAAACAGGTAAAGAGGTGTAAAGAGGTGTAAAGAGGTGTAAAGATGTGTAAACAGGTAAAGAGGTGTAAAGAGGTGTAAACAGGTAAAGAGGTGTAAAGAGGTGTAAACAGGTAAAGAGGTGTAAACAGGTAAAGAGGTGTAAAGATGTGTAAACAGGTAAAGAGGTGTAAACAGGTAAAGAGGTGTAAACAGGTGTAAACAGGTAAAGAGGTGTAAACAGGTAAAGAGGTGTAAACAGGTGTAAACAGGTAAACAGGTGTAAACAGGTAAAGAGGTGTAAACAGGTAAAGAGGTGTAAACAGGTGTAAACAGGTAAAGAGGTGTAAACAGGTAAAGAGGTGTAAAGAGGTGTAAACAGGTAAAGAGGTGTAAACAGGTAAAGAGGTGTAAACAGGTGTAAACAGGTAAAGAGGTGTAAACAGGTAAAGAGGTGTAAAGAGGTGTAAAGAGGTGTAAACAGGTAACTCACCCAGAAGATGATGTTGTAACTGAACATCAGGTATTTGTAGCAGCAGCTGACCTCTGCGTTGTCATATCGATAATAGTACATCTGTTCCAACAACACACTGCAGTTATATAAATATATAAATATATAATGTATAATGTATATAATATATAATGTATAATGTATATAATATATAATGTATATAATGTATAATGTATATAATATATAATGTATATAATGTATAATGTATAATGTATATAATATATAATGTATATAATATATAATGTGTATAATGTATAATGTATATAATATATAATGTATATAATGTATAATATATAATGTATATAATATATAATATATAATGTATATAATGTATATAATATATAATGTATATAATATATAATGTATAATGTATATAATATATAATGTATATAATATATGTTTATAATATATAATGTATATAATATATAATATATAATGTATATAATATATATAATGTATATAATGTATAATATATAATGTATATAATATATAATGTATATAATGTATAATGTATATAATATATAATGTATATAATGTATAATATATAATGTATATAATATATAATATATAATGTATATAATGTATATAATATATAATGTATATAATATATAATGTATAATGTATATAATATATAATGTATATAATATATGTTTATAATATATAATGTATATAATGTATAATGTATATAATATATAATGTATATAATATATAATATATAATGTATATAATATATATAATGTATATAATGTATAATATATAATGTATATAATATATAATGTATATAATGTATAATATATAATGTATATAATATATATAATGTATATATTATATAATGTATATAATATATATAATGTATATAATGTAGATAATATATAATGTATATAATGTATATAATGTATATAATGTATATAATATATAATGTATATAATGTATATAATGTATATAATATATAATGTATATAATATATAATATATAATGTATATAATATATATAATGTATATAATGTATAATGTATATAATGTATATAATATATAATGTATATAATGTATATAATATATATAATGTATATAATGTATATAATATATATAATGTATATAATGTATAATGTATATAATATATAATATATAATGTATATAATATATAATATATAATGTATATAATATATAATGTATATAATATATAATGTATATAATGTATAATATATAATGTATATAATATATATAATGTATATAATATATAATGTATATATTATATAATGTATATAATATATATAATGTATATAATGTATATAATATATAATGTATATAATGTATAATGTATATAATATATAATGTATATAATGTATATAATATATAATATGTATATAATGTATATAATGTATATAATGTATAATGTATATAATGTATAATATATAATGTATATAATGTATAATATATAATGTATATAATATATATAATGTATATAATATATAATGTATATATTATATAATGTATATAATATATATAATGTATATAATGTATATAATGTATATAATATATAATGTATATAATGTATAATGTATATAATATATAATGTATATAATATATAATGTATAATGTATATAATGTATAATGTATATAATATATAATGTATATATTATATAATGTATATAATATATATAATGTATATAATGTATATAATATATAATGTATATAATGTATAATATATAATGTATAATGTATCCATGTTAGCATGATAACACTGACTTAGTTTAGCAGTTAGCTGCAGTTAGCAGTTAGCTGCAGTTAGCAGTTAGCTGCAGTTAGCAGTTAGCTCCCTCTCACAGCAATCATCACATACTAACGTTAGCTTAGCTGAAGCTAATCTGAAACTCCGGATGTAAGTTAGTAAGTTACTTTCTGTCGACATAAACGCGCGTTTGAGTTTTTCTTTCCGTACATTGGCGACTTTAGTTGGCCGACCGTCCGGTGACTGTGTCCAGTACCGAGCCCGAACCCGTTAATGTTCCGTTATCAAGCGTTAATGAAGAGTTTCTGTTCGTTCTGACCGGAAACAGCTAATGCTAACGCTAGCTGTGTAAAGTTTACAGCACATATAAAGAGTAGAAGAAGAAGAGACTTTAACGAAAGTAACAGACTTACCTCAGATCAGCTTCTGTTGTTGTTGTTGTTGTTGTTGTTGTTGTTGTTGTTACTCTTTAACACAAACACACCCTGCTGACAACGGACTTCTTCTTCTAGTTCTCTTCCGTCACAAACGCTGACTCTTCTTCTTCTTCTGGTTTTAATGGCGGCTGTTAAACCAGATTTAATGTACATTACCGCCCCTGCTGGTTGCTTCCTGTTATTACTCCCAGATACAGTTAATTACGGTAATAACCTTATTGATTACCCATCCCAGTATTCCTATAGTAACCTTATTGCAGAGATGTCAAGTCCAAGTCAAGTCTCAAGTCTCTAAAAAATAAAAGTCTCTCTATTATATTTAATTACATTATTTACATCATATTAGTTTGATTTTATTCATATTTATCTTATTTATTCTATTTATAAGGCCAATTTAGGAGTAACCAGGAGACATTTCACTGCATGTTACTCTGGGACTTCTGTATGTGACAAATAAAGTACTCTTGTAATCTTCTCAACAATTAACACCTTCTAACATTATTAGTCATGCAATAATAACTAATCATCCAATCTCAGTTATAGTTAGCAACATCTGCTGGACACAAAATTCACACCATTCATATGCTGGTAAATCATGCAAGTGGCTGGTACTGTATGCTGCACTCACCAGCCAAAATAACAATGGTAATCTATTGAGTGGCTGGTAACATTTCAACATTCACTAGTCTAGCCATTTTGCCAGTGGACAAAGAAGTTAAAGGTTTGCACTCTGCAACCGTACTGTTTATTACACTGGGTCTCTAATGACACATTCCTCTATCCTCTCACTCAAAGTCAGTGGAATGGTAACCTGGTAAACCTGTAACATTAACGTTTCGTGGTCAATAATGAACCTGTAACCTGCCTGTAAGCCGACAGTATAACTCTGTATTTTTCTATGGTTAACGTTAGCCAGTAGATGGTGGCAATGTAGATGATTAACGTTACCCTAGCTTTTTTTTTTTTTTTACGTCATGTCAACGCCACTCAATGCAAACAAGTGCAACAAGCAAACTAACATTCACTCATCTATTCAAATATTCAGTTACAAAGCTAGTAGCAAGCTCAGTGAACGTTACATAGCTGATGCTGAGCTAACCGTCCATATGCGCTAATGTGACTGACCTCTCCGGGTGAGTTTTCAGGTGCCTGATAAAATTTGATGTGGTGGATCCAGCATCCTTGATTCGGGTACAGCAGACTTTGCAGTCAGCGCTCCTTTTGTTGGTGCCATCCTGTTTGAAGTTTTTATAACCAAATGTAATCACAAATGGTACAGCAGCAGCTGCACGTGTGCCGCCGGTCGCCATAGTCGTCATCCGAAGTACTAGTGCGTGAGGCCGCGAGGCGCGCACCCAATGTGTAATATGGTTACCATGAAAAAAAGGAAGGAATCACACTAAACTCGTCAGACGTCTCAGAGTTTCCTCAGTATTAATACGCCAAAAATGAAAACATAATGATTGTTCACGAATCCCAAAACACGAGTCCAAGTCAAGTCTGAAGTCTCTGTGTGTGCGACTTAAGTGTGATTCGAGTCCGAGTCGCAAACTCGAGTCCCCATCTCTGCCTTATTGATTACTCTAACTCTCTCTCTGTCTCTCACTTTCTGTCTGTCTCTCTCTCTCTCTCCCTGTCTCTCTGTCTCTATGTCTCTCTCTCTGTCTGTCTCTCTCTCTCTCTCTCTCTTTGTCTGTCTGTCTCTCAATTCAAATGGCTTCATTGGCATGACATTACACTGTACATATTGCCAAAGAAAGCGTTTGGAATTAAAAATAATAATAATAACAATAAAGGAAAACAATATTTACAATAAATTAATTATAATCTATACTGTTGGTAATACTGTAACTATGATTGACTCAATCACAATCACAGTCACAATCAATCAATCTCAGTCAATAAGTAATTAATTACAATGAATCAATGAATCAATCAATCAGTTTGTGTTAACTAAAAATGTCATTAAAACAATAGTAAAGTAACTACAGTTAAAACAAGCAGTCTGTTGTCAATATAACAATAATTATAAAGAAGAAGAAAAAAAGTTAGAAAATGAAAATGAAAATGGGGGCGCCCGCTTAGTTCAGTGGGCGAAGCTGGCGACCCATATACCGAGGCTGAGTCCTTGCTGCAGCGGCCCAGGCCTCAAATCCGACCTGCGGCCCATTGCTGCATGTCATCGCCCCTTCTGCCGCCCTTTCCTGTCTGTCTTCAGCTGTATCTATCAAATAAAGGCAAAAAGCCAAAAAAATAACTTTAAAAAAAAGAAAATTAAAATAATATATTAAAAATTAAAATCAATAAATAAAATAGTAAGCGTGTGTGTTAAAAAAATGAATAAATAAATAAAATTCAATAAAATATATTAAAAAAATTAATTAATAAAATAAATAATAAATAATCTATCCGTCTCTCTCAATTCAAATACAAATTCAAAATGAGCTTTATTGGCATGAAAGTTTTTTAAAAAACAATATTGCCAAAGCAAAGTATTCAAATACAATACAATAAATCAAAGATATATACATTATTATTATTATATGAACATTATATTAGTTATATACAGTGTGTGTGTGTGTGTGTGTGTGTGTGTGTCCCTCAGGTTGTGGCATATTAATACATACTGGGCAGCAAGGTGTGCCTGCTCTCCTTCTCCAGGAGTATTTTTAATTTGGAGTGGTCGTTCAGCTCTTTGAAATCTGGAACCAAAGAGCTGAACTTGTTCAAATAAATGTTTCTAGTATTATTTAATGTTGTACATTGTAGGAGAAAGTGCATCTCTGTCTCAACCTCACCTGTCCAACAGTGACCACATTTTCTGTTTTCTTTTGGTTGCCATGATGTTTTGTGTCTTCCTGTTTGGATTGGCAGTTTGTGGTCACTGAGCCTGTACTTGGTTAGGATCTGTCTCTGCTTTCTATCTCTGACAGTAGAGAGATATTCTGCTCATTCATAATCTCTCTCTGTCCCTCTCTCTCTGTCTGTCGCTCTGTCTCTCTTTGTCTGTCTCTGTCTGTCTGTCTGTCTCTCTCTGTCTCTCCCTTCCTTCCTCCCTCCCTCCTTCTCCCTCTCAGTGAAATATTGATTACTGGTCATTAGTTATGTTAATTAGCTGATTATTAACTCTCTGTAGTTACCGTGACGACAGCAAGCTGCTCATTAATGACATGCTGCTGCTCTTAACGAGGACACTCTGTCCTAATTAACTTCCTGTGTGACTGCTGAGGTTGTCATGGTAACCAATAAATTAATATTGATTGATTATCATCGTTTATACAATATATGGCTAAAGTATGTGGACAGCCTTCAGGTCTGAATCCTGCTGTTACCTGGGAAACGGTGACCTGACATTCTCTGTTACCATGGTGATGGAACAGACGGGATTATGGGTCAGACTCTGTGTTCAAATGCAGTAAAAATAAACAGGATGTTTACTATATATAGTCTATGTTCACTTCCTGACCTTTGACCTGTGAGTGAGATCGATACACCTTCCAAACTCATTGATCCACATGGACAAAATAACAGAAACAGTTCAACAAATGAGCTGTGTGTGAGTGTGATCTGTTACCGTGACATCTCGCCTCCAGCTCCCTGTCAACATCTCCATGGCAACAGGGCCAGTGATGTGACACGAGGACATTACTGTATTATGAGACACCGCTGTATTATTACTGTATTATGAGGACATTACTGTATTATTAGTGTTATTACTGTATTATTGCTGTATTATGCGGACATTACTTATTATTACTGTATTATTCAATTCAATTCAATTCAATTCAATTTTATTTGTATAGCGCCAATTCATAACAGAAGTTATCTCAGGACACTTTTCAAATAGAGCAGGTCTAGACCGAACTCTTTAACATTAATTACAGAGACCCAACAGTACCACCATGAGCAAGCACTTGGCGACAAGGGCAAGGAAAAACTGCCTGTTAAAAGGCAGAAACCTAGGACAGATCCTCCGGCTCTAGGTGGGTGGTCGTCTGTCTCGACCAGTTGGGGTGAGAGAGAGAGAGAGAGAGAGAGAGAGAGAGAGAGAGAGAGAGACAGACAGACAGACAGGTGCACAGCAACAACAGTATTGGCAATGGCAGTCAAGCAGGACCATGGCAGGAGGCTCCACCAGGATCCATGAGAACCTGCGAGACGAGAAAGCACAAGAACTCCGGGGAAGAAGTGGAGTTAGTAACATGCATTAAAATAATAATAAAATAATTATTATGACTGTGTTGTTACTGTATTATGAGGACATTACTGTATTATTACTGCGTTATTACTGTATTATTGCTATGTTATTACTGTATTATTACTTATGAAAACATTACTGTTTTATGACTGTGTTATGAGGACATTACTGTATTATTATTGTGTTATTACTGTATTATGAATATTCGCTATACATTTGAATTGAATCCGATGAACGGAACAACTATGTGGAACTTGTGTAATCCTGCCTACCGGGCGAGATGGTAAATGGTAAATGGACCTGTACTTGTATAGCGCCTTTCTAGTCTTCCGACCACTCAAAGCGCTTTTACATTACGTGCCATTCATCGATCAGAAACTAACATTCATACACATTCACACACCGATGCACGGCATCGGGAGCAATTTGGGGTTATCTTGCTCAAGGATACTTCGACATGTAGCACCAGGAGCCAGGGATCGAACCCACAACCTTCCGATCGACATGTAGCACCAGGAGCCAGGGATCGAACCCACAACCTTCCGATTAAGGGGATTAAGAGCTACAGCCACCCGAGATGGAAAGACACTGAAGGCCACACATCAACCACTATTCCAATACAGGCTATAATAAATGATAAAAAACTGAGAAAACATCTTAATGAGGAGCTAAATCCATGGCTGGGTTTATCCCTTAGCATTTGGTTTGAGATCATATCAAAGAATAGCCTTACAGAGCAGAGTAGGTTACTGTGGTGAATTGCACATGTCTCAGACTTTACACCTAATACAATGGACGGGAGCTTCAGTAGATGGGGTGGGTGACCAACAATATTCTGGGAGCTCTTTAAGAAGAATAAAATTAAACGTTTTCAAGCTCTAAAGAATCAATTTGGTTTTAAAAATCAGGATTTATACAGATATTTACAGATGAGGCATTATATGGAGCAAACTATAAAAAAGTCTTAGAATAATTATTAAATTATTTATTTTAGCATATGAATCAGATTTGGGCAAGAAATTAATCTCAAAATTATATAAAGTGGAAAATTTAAAAGGTCATAATACAGTATATATAAAAGAAAAGTGGGAGAAGGAGGTGGGAAGGATGTTGTCAAAGCAGGAATGGGAAGAGTTCAATTAACAATGGAAGACAACATGCTCCCTCTCATGGAGAGAATATGGTTGGAGGAACATTGACAACAAATGACAAATCCTGATCAAAGCAAGATTCCTGACAGTGGTGCTAGAGGCCAAGTTAATGCCATCTAGAGTAACTATATCTTTAGACAGTGAGTCTCTAAGGTTGAGTTGAGTTTCTGAGTTTAACATCAGAAAATTGCTGCTCATCCAGGATTTTATGTCCTTAAGACATGTTTGTAATTTAGATATTTGATTAATTTCATCGGGCTTGATCGATAGATATAACTGCGTATCATCTGCATAACAGTGAAAGTTAATGGAGTGATTCCTAATAATGTTGCCTAAAGGGAGCATATATAAAGTAAATAGTATTGGTCCAAGTACAGAACCTTGTGGAACTCCATGACTAACTGTAGTATTTACTGAAGATTCATCGTTAACATGTACAAACTGCGAGCGATCTGATAAATATGACTTAAACCAGCTTAGTGCGGTTCCTTTAATGCCAATTTGATGCTCAAGTCTCTGTAAAAGAATATCATGGTCAATGGTGTCAAATGCAGCACTAAGATCTAATAATACAAGTACAGAGAGAAGTCCATTGTCAGAAGCAATCAGAAGGTCATTATTAACTTTAACCAGAGCTGTCTCTGTGCTATGATGAACTCTAAATCCTGACTGAAAATCCTCAAATAAACTATTGTTATGTAGAAAGTCACACAACTCTTTGGCGACTACTTTCTCCAGAATCTTAGAGAGGAAGAGGAGGTTAGAGATTGGTCTACAGTTGGCTAAAACCCCTGGGTCAAGAGTGGGCTTAATTAAAGAAATGCATGGAGAAAACTTTGAAAGTGGAACTTCCATCTTGTGCTTTCTCGTCTCACAGGTTCTCATGGATCCTGGTGGAGCCTCTTGCCATGGTCCTGCTTGACTGCCATTGCTAATATCACTGATATTATTGTTATTATTATTACTGCGGTTACTGTTGTTGCTGTGGTCACTGCTCATTGTCCCCCATCGTTGTTGTTGTCGCCGTCATCTTCTTCATGTTCATCATCATCAGTCACCACTATTAATGTAGTTGTTGCTACTGTTGTTGCTGTGCACCTCTGTCTGTCTGTCTGTCTGTCTGTCTCTCTCTCTCACCCCAACTGGTCGAGGCAGACGACCATCCACCTAGAGCCGAAGGGTCTGTCCTAGGTTTCTGCCTCTTAAATGGTAGTTGTTCCTTGCCCCTGTCGCCAAGGTCTTGCTCATGGTCTCAGTAAGACAAAGTAAATCAATATCATAATCTGATATTAATTAATTCACTAAAACAGCTTTAGAGGACAGAGACCTGATATTTAACAGTCCACATTTCATTCTCTTATTTTGTGCTACTGAGGAGTTACTTTGAATTTTTATTAGGTTTTTAGGTTTAATTCCTCTTGTTTGTATTTCTTTAAGTAATTTAGGTGGTCGGGGGACGGACACAGTCTCTATGGGGTTTTGGGTGGGTGACTGTACTAATGGAAAAGCAGAGAAGTGTGTAAGACAGCAGCTCTGCTTCCTGGTCCCAACTCTGGACTGTCAGGTTTTAGAAATAAACTTCGCCATATTTCTAGATAAGAGAGCCGCTCCATCCAAAGTGGGATGGATGCCGTCTCTCCTAATCAGACCAGGTTTTCCCCAAAAAGGCTTCCAGTTATCAATGAAGCCCACATCGTTTTCTGGACACCACCGCGACAGCCAGCGGTGGAATGACGACATGCGGCTATACATGTCATCACTGGTCAAATTGGGCAGGGGTCCAGAGAAAACTACGGAGTCCGACATTGTTTTAACATAATTACACACCGACTCTACATTAATTTTAGTGACCTCTGGTTGGTGTAATCAGGTGTCATTACCGCCGACATGAATAACAATCTGACTATATTTACGTTTCTCTTTAGCCAGCAGTTTTAAATAGGATTCAATGTCGCCCGCTCTGGCCCCAGGGATACATTTAACCGTGGTCGCTGGCTTCGCTAACTTCACGTTTCTGACTATGGAGCTGCCAATAATCAGAGTTGTTTCCTCAGCGGGAAAATGTATTGGAAACATGAACCCACTGGTGGTGAACTGTGGGCTTCTGCGGTTTGCGGCTATGCTTTCCCGGCTGCTTGGGAACTACCGGGGGACGGCTAACAGAAGCTACACTGGGTTGGCCTGCACTGACTACTGGGGGCTGGCTAACTATTGTGGCCAAATGATAACTCTGCACGGCACCGTGCCTCTAGTTCACTGAGCCTCGCGTCCAGCGCAGTAAATAAATTACATCTAATACAGGTACCATTATCACTAAAGGAGGCAGAGGAATAACTAAACATCTGACACACTGAGCAAGACAAACAGTAGAGGAAGAGGGAGAAGCCATCCTCGCTAATAGAAGGAAGTAGCTCCGAGGGCTTAGGTAGAACTAGTCTACGTTTAAATGTTAAGCGGTAAATAATTGCTGTAACGAATAAAACTAATTCGTTTTTAGCGTTCACTGGACAGAGCTACAGCAGCAAACACTGTACACAGGAGCAGGAAGTAAACTGGAAATGACTCAGTCCGCTTACCGTTGCACATCAGCACGTTCCACCACGTGGAATAATAATTCAGAATAATGTTAGTGGCAGGTAAAAAAGCCATCACCAGGAAGTGGCTGGAAACGGAGGTACCTTAAATGGAGGATCGCGAAGTAATGTAGAACATTTACATGATGGAATAGCTGCATTTCTCAGTTAGACTAGAATCAGATAAATTTAAGAATTTCTGGAATAACTGGGTTGAGTTTGTAACACCATTGAGAACAGACTTTATTTGGTAAAAACAATGTATCTTATGGATCTGCTTGGTTCTTGCTACAAATTTTAAATGTTCAATGTTCCTAAGATTGTGTTCGGCATTATCCTTCACCAGGTGAGAAAGATCTTTACTAGAGGGGAATGAAAATGTGGATTAAAGTGAAAAATGAATTAATTTGGTGTTAAATTGTGAATCTTTGTCTATTCATGCTTTTGATCCCTGGTGTGAAGTATTTGTATGCTCTGTATACATGGAAAACGTGTGATATGTTAAATGCTAATGGAACAATACTGAATGGAATCAATAAAAAAGTTAATTTAAAAAAAAAATCTGATTTACAGGGGTAGAGGAGGAGTCTACAGGCGTCAAAATTATTTTTTTCAGATGCAGCTGACCTGCGGTCTGTTGATGGTGTTATATAAGCACAGAGAAAACAGATAATCCTCAATAATCCCACTAAATCCAACAATATGAGACTGATGAGACCAATGTATAAGAAGAGGATCAGGACTCATAAAAACAGGATCAGGTCCCATCAGAGGAACAAACAACTGATCCGCCAGCAGCTGATGTCTCTGAGCTTCATATTATTATTAATCATTATTATTAGTGAGACATTTACTCTGATCTCAGACCAGTCTGTAAAAACACTGTGAATGGAGTCTGGAACAGAGACTGAAGTAATTCATTTACAACAAAATAAACTTTATTTTCCACTAAATAATATTTTCTATACAAAGTGTTTGTTTTCTGCAGATCTCTGGTGACGAACTGTCCCTGAACGCCTCGTTGTCCATCTGTCAGAAAACTCTCGTCCAATCAGAGCACAGCAGTTTCACTTGTTCCTGGGCTGGGCGGCGATGTAGAGCGCCACGAGGCAGTAGAGTGCCCCCCCCACCGTCAGACCCATGGTGGTCCGGTACAGCAGCTTGTCTATCAGGCCCCTCTTAAGGTGGACCGGGACCCCGTCTGACCTCTGACAGGGAGAGAGACAGGTTACCTGTGAGGGGGCGTGGCTTATTACATCATCACACAGTCCTAACCCTCACTCACTCAGACCCCTACAGGGCTCCAGACTAACTTTTTGCATTGGTTGCACTGGTGTGCTTAACTTTTTTTTTTAGGTGCACCAGCACAAAATTTAGGTGCACCCAAATTTTTCATTGCGTTGCCTTTAACGCCATAAGGTCACCTTTTTATCGCTCTCCATAACTTTCATATAATGTGAATGATTTTTAAACAAGAATAAGGTATAAAGAAATGCTTGTCTTTATTTGAAGCACAATTATATATAAAAAGAAAAATAAAGTGCTTAAATTGCTTCACTGAGCTGAAATTGAACATTTCAAACTCAAACATTTCTAGTAAAATAATTATTAATGATAATAATAATGATTACTACTACCTGCCGCTGAAATGCAGCTGGGAGAGGGGCCAATTTCTCTACACACACTTGTCACGGCATATTGTGTGTTTTTTTGACATGTTGTGTTTTTTTAAAGTTTCAATACAAAACGTTGCTGACCCACTCACGAATGCTCTATTTCCATCCATATTCTGACCACACTCCTGACAGTACACGCAGTGCATTGCGTTACGTCCTTTGTTGTACCTCAGCCAGGGAAATTGTTTCAGCCAGTCCTGTATGAAGGAATATATTTTGACCTTTTTAATTTGGGTCTCAGAGCCGGGCTCTATCCCAGACTAAGTTGTCTCCTCCTCTGGTTCCGAGTCTGATGCTGTCGCCGAAGGACCGGGGCTTGGCATCTCACCAGGGACCGAGGGCTCCGTGTCTTGACGGGATGGACTCTCAGTAGTGGGGATGGATGGGATTATAGTAGTAGGGCTGGTTGTAGGCTTGGTTTTCTTAATGAAAAAACTTTCAATATTTCTGCCTCTCTTCATTTACCGTTGTTTTGTTGCATTTATTTTATTTTTCCGTTTTCGTTTGTTCGCTACCCCCCCCCCGGGGGCCCCCCAAATTTTTAAAACCCCCAACCAGGAGAACAACACCCACACCAGGTTTTTTTAAAAAAAAAAAACACCCCCATCTGGGTGTGTGGGTTGGGTCCAGGAGAAAAAAGAGAAGAAATAATTAATTAAAATTTTTATATATTTTTTCCCGGGTAGGACCACCAGGACTGGAACCTATTCAAAGACGCCTCTTAAAATTTTTGTGCACTCTGGACCCTGACCCTATCACTAACACCCCTGAACCTCCTCAAGACCACTATCTCTCTCAAAGACCCCTGGCCTATTCAAGACCACTATCACACCCTCAAAAACCCCTAAACCTCCTCAAAGACCCCTGGAACCTCTTCAAAGACCACTATCATCTGCTCAGAGACCCCTGGAACCTATTCAAAGACCACTATAATCTGCTCATAGACCCCCTGGAACCTATTCCGCTCAAGACCCCTGACAGACTGGATGTGTCAGTGACTATAGAGTCCTGGTCCTCATTCTGTCTATACAGCTGTTTGTTCTGTAGCAGGAAGAATTATATATAAAATATTTAATTAAGCTAATAAAATGACCAATCGGCTAATTATCCTCCACAGCCCGATATGCTAATACAGCTAGCTTATGCTAGCATCAAAGAGGACTGTCAGTGATAAACAGAAGCTGTTTACGTGGTTACCATGCATTGAGCACCTGGTGTTTACCGGTGGAGCATTTGTCTGCCCGTCAGTTCACACACGGAGCGCAGTGACACCTGACTCCGTCTGAAAAGACCTTTACACCTGAGTCCTGAGTTACCTGGAAGACTTTCTGCAGGTCGGGCACTCGATTAGCTCCCAGGTACTCCACCTGACTTCCTGCTTCTGATGCCAGCTTGGTCGGAGACACAAAGACGGGGGGAGGACGGACAGATGGGACACCAGGACGCAGACCCTGGGGGACAGACAGACAGAGAGACAGACAGAGAGAGAGAGACAGAGAGAGAGAGACAGAGAGAGGGTTAAGGCCCGGACACACCAACTCGATTATCGGCTGTCGGACGTCGTCGGACTCAATGACCAATCTGATTGGTGGAGTGCTAGCCCTTGACAAGCGAATCAGTGAGTGCACGAGGAAACCTGGAAGTGACGATGGTAAACATACTACGTCAATGCCAGTATCTTGTTATTATTAATTCAATTCAATTTTATTTGTATAGTGCCAATTCATAACAGAAGTTATCTCAGAACACTTTTCAAATAAAAAAAAATGTGGTGAGGGTGTCTGCCTCCCGAACCAAAACTGGAAGCTGGTTCCACAGGAGAGGAGCTTACCTGAAGGCTCTGGCTCCTGTTCTACTTTTAGAGACTATAGGAACCACAAGTAGCCCAGCATTCAGAGAACGTAGTGTTCTAGTGGGGTAATAGGGTACTATGAGCTCTTTAAGATATGAAGGGGCCTGACCATGAAGAGCTTTATAGGTGAGGAGGAGGATTTTAAATTCTATTCTACATTTTACAGGGAGCCAATGCAGAGAAGCTAGTACAGGAGAGATGTGATCTCTTGTTCTAGTTCCTGTCAGTACTCGTGCTGCAGCGTTCTGAATTAATTGGAGCGTTTTAATGGACTTATTGGGGCAACCTGATAATAAAGAGTTGCAGTAATCCAGCCTTGAAGTAACAATGCATGGATTAGTTTTTCTGCATCTGTCTGTGATAGGATGTGTCTAATTTTTGTAATATTACGTAAATGAAAGAAGGCAGTCCTAGAGGTCTGCTTTATGTGGGGATTAAATGACAAATCCTGATCAAAGATAACTCCAAGATTCCTGACAGTGGTGCTAGAGGCCAAGGTAATGGCATCTAGAGTAACTATACAGTGGGGAGAACAAGTATTTGCCGATTTTGCAGGTTTTCCCACTTACCAAGCATGTAGAGGTCTGTAATTTTTATCATAAATGAAAATCAATAATTTCGTTTTATAGGAGCGATAGAATCCAATGTTCTTCGTAGTGAGCCTGCAGCACTATCAACAAGATTATCATTTTCGGAGGGACCAAAGTTATTCAGTGTTTCCTCTAGGATTTTTTTTTAGCAGTGGGGGCAGGCCCGTCCGAACCCCGCCCCCCGTTAAACGTTTTACGTATGAAACAGAAGTGACACTTTGCTGCGACACAAACAAATATATTTACTGTTTTAATGTTTCCAGATGTTTGATATCAGGACGTTGAGCTGAGAACTGACAAGTTGAACTAGGGCTGGGCGATATGGCTGAAAAATGTATTACGATACAAGTGTTTCATATCAGTCGATATCGATAATTATTGATTCTATTTTTTTAACCTATTCTAAATGAGGACCAGGAGAAAAAAAGGCTGAATTTAAATACTTTTATTTTAAACATAACCTTTCACCTTTTAAAGAGGTCAACACAACCATGAAAAACAGTCAATTAAATAAACATACTGGTCAATGTGCAAATTAAAGTATTAAATAAAGACATTAGACATTAAATAAATGCTTAATCCAACAAAATGTGCAAAGTATTTTGTAAATAAAAAATCAGTGTACACCTGAGGTAGAACTAACATCTCTGACATGTAACAAATAGTAATATGTCTGTATCAAACCAGCATAAAATTATAAAAGTAACTGAAAAACAACTCAACATCGATGAAATGAATTGTCAAGCTGAGGTATGGCTCGCATGAACGGCTTGACCACATGTTGGAGGTTGTTGCAAAGTGCTTTGCTGACATCTCCTTTTCCACAGATTCCTTGCACATCATGTAAAGCCTAGGAATAGCCGTCTTGGAAGTGCTTTCGGCCTGGTAGAATGTAACGAATTAATAAGAGTCTTGTACCCAGACTTCTCAACTGTGCTGAGCGGGAGCATGTCCTTCGCTAACTGCATGCCACTGCATCCGTTATTTCTTTATATCACTTTGATGTTTTGTCGTATGGCACTACTGCCGTGTACCTCTCGATGGTGGTCTGTTGCCACTTGTGTGTTGTTCCACTTGTACCGGCAGATGTCGATGGCTGTGGCTCTCTTCTGCTGTACTCCAGCGGATGAGAGCGGCTGAGGTGATCAAATAAATTTGTCGTGTTGCCAGACTTGGCAGGGAAGACGACCTTGCAAAGTTTGCAGACTACATCGGTCGGACTCTTGTCTGACTTAAAATAACCAAAATATTGCCAAACTGGTGAAGTGACCTTTCCTTTTTTAGCTACACTTTCCTCTCGCGCTGTCGCACTAATATTCTCCTTTCACTCCACGCCGTTCTTTTTTTTTTTGTTGTTGTTGTTGTTGTTGTTGTTGATGATGCCACCAACCTGGCTTAGCTGGGCCTTGATAGGTAGAGAGGCTAAAGCCCTTCCTCTGCCTACATCCCCCAGAATGACTTGCGGTTCTTGCTTGGGGTTTTTCTTCCTATTTTTCTCTAACAGAGTTCAAGTGAAATTATTTAACATTCTATCGAACGTATTTCCTATTGATATTGATCATGTGTCTATCGCGATAGATATCGTTATCGTTTTATCGCCCAGCCCTAAGTTGAACGTTGTCCAATTAAAACGGACCCACCGCGGTGATGTTTTTGGTGGAGCTGTTAATTTAATAGTCGACTTGAAAGAAAGTGAACGTTTTGACAATAAGCTCCATCAACACAACAGTATGTGGAGTTAAACTGGACAGCCCCAATAACCTCTGAATAGTTCTACTTGTTGTTAAATGGCAATGTGAGCGGCAGAAATTTGCGGGCCGCCGCTCCAAAATCAACATAGAGGAAACACTGTTATTATAGGACTGTTAATTTCAAACATGGCATTGAATTAAACACTGAAGGAATCTCCTCCTTAAATTTAGCTACAGCACTGTCAGATAGACATCTGCTGTAGGAAGTTTTGCCTAATGGCTTATAATCTAATAGTATGAATTCAAAAGTTATTAAATAATGGTCAGATAGGAAAGGATTATGTGGGAAGACTATTAAATGTTCAATATCTATGCCATATGATAGAACAAGGTCAAGAGTGTGATTAAAACAATGAGTTGGTTTATTTACACTCTGACAGAAGCCAATTGAGTCTATTAATGATATAAATGCGTTACTAAGGCTGTCATTGTTAACATCCACATGAATATTATAATCACCTACAATAATTACCTTATCTGATTTAAGGACTAAACTTGATAAAAACTCTGAGAATTCAGATATAAAATCAGAGTACGGTCCAGGAGCACGGTACACTATAACAAATAGAACTGGCTGCAGTGTTTTCCAGTTTGGGTGAGAAAGACTAAGAACAAGGCTTTCAAATGAATTATAATTTAGTTTAGGTTTAGGGTCCATTAAAACGCTCGATTCATATATGGCTGCCACTCCACCTCCTCGGCCAGTGCCTCGAGGAATGTGAGTATTAATATGACTGGGGGGGGGTGGATTCATTTAGGCTAACATACTCCTCGTGGGACAACCAGGTCTCAGTAAGACAAAGTAAATCAATATCATAATCTGATATTAATTCATTCACTAAAACAGCTTCAGAGGACAGAGACCTGATATTTAACAGCCCACATTTCATTCTCTTATTTTGTGCTACTGAGGAGTTAGTTTTAATTTTTATTAGATTTTTATGTTGAACTCCTCTTGTTTTTATTTCTTTAAATAATTTAGGTGGTCGGGGGACAGACACAGTCTCTATGGGGTTTTGGGTGGGTGACTGTTCTAAAGAAAGTGCCGAGAAGTGTGTAAGACAGCAGCTCTGCTTCCTGGTCCCAACTCTGGACTGTCTAAACCCCCCAATAAAGATTTGGGTTAGTTAGTTAGTTAGTTAGTTAGTTAGTAAGTTAGGGTAGTGTTGCACGGTGCCCCATTTCTCAGAAATTAAAAACATCACGATTCCTAAATTCATTAGCATCGATACTTTTAAGAATGACCGCGTTCCAGATTTGTAAGAGACGTATTTCATGTTGGTGTGTGCAACGTATGCTTCCAGTGCCTCCCTATGGACGTCATGTGACAAACACTATAACAAGATGGCTGCATGTGCGAGCACAAGTGACTGGTAGAAAAAGATGACGTGAAGAGTGAAATATGGAAGTACTTTGCCTACCTTGCTGACAGTGAGGGCAAAGCTACCGATAAGTCGAGACCTGTTTGTCGTCAGTGCTAACGTTACAAACAAATGTAAACAAAGGGAGCCAACACCTCGAACCTGGAGAAACATTCGGCCGACAAACACGCCGAGTTGTACAAGGAGTTTAAAGACCAGCAGTTAGTATGTGAAAGATAACACGACCACGTTCATGCCCTTAAATAAGTCAAATGAGTAGGCTATGGTTTATTTTGTGAGAAGTCACTATTTTGCACCACCGTAGTTTGACGAGGCTATCTAGAGAAATAGTAGGCTGACTATGGGCATTATCCTCATGGCTAACCAATAGCCTGCCTACGGCTAATTCAACATCTCTGAAAACGCAACTTTCACAGATAACGTTAATAATTTGCAAGCTGCTAAAATAAAGCATACAAAACATCAGCTAAAATGATCTATAGGCTATATGATTATAATCAGAGCATGTGCATGTTTGTCAGTGATTTATTTATATGAGGTTATTACAGCATTTAAAGAGCACAGACCTACGCAAAGGAGGTGTATTTGTGAAACGCCTTGTAAGAAATTATGGACTCAAATATAAAGTTAACCATCAAAGAAATCAGATGTTGAAGTACAGGAAACATTAGCCTATATTAATCCATATATCACAGCTTAAATAACATTAGGTTAACTCATTACTTCCTATTATTAATTATGGTAATGTTATGGTTTAGTAAATGTTAGCAGTTATCACTATAACCACTGCATATAGAGATGCTAAGTTAGTCACAAGTTATTGTTATTATCACACAAACTATTTAGGTCCTCTGTTATGACAAATTTATCACCATC